TCTGTATGTTTTACCAGCATCCACAAAAATGGCAGCTGAGAATGCCTGAGCATCTGAGCCCAGTGGAATGAATCCTGTGTTGTGCCCAATTTGCAAGACCCCGAAAGATTGCCAGGAGTTGAGTCAGTTGCAAAACACATGCAGTGCTCTTTTTATTACAAGCTACAGCTTGAGCCCACACCCTTACTAACACAGTGGTTGAGAGCAGAGAGCCTTGTGCTCAGGGTAGGTGGGTGATTTAAAGATTCCAGTCTTTCTCAGCATGCCCAAAGCAGCAGAATTCCTGCCTGGCAAGCATCTATTGGTTGAAACACAAAAGGGGATGTTGTATTTTGAACTGATTGACTATAGGAAGGCCCCCAAACCATTAACTGTCTGGCATCCCTTGCTTGGCTGTCCTAGGGGGGGAGGGGCAGTCTGGGCCTGTTTCCTAGCAATTGTATCTCTAGTGGGCAGGAAAGGAATGCAGTAAGGCTGTTTCCTTCCCACAGGTGGCTGAACTTGTCTCCACCTGTCTGGCCTTTTTTCAGGCTTGTACTTTTAAAGTTTAAACCAATAGCTCAAAAAGCTAATTTTTAATTCTTTGGTCTCTCACCTGAAGTAACAACTTTGTAGGTGGCTCTGTGGGAGCAGGACTCTCTCCCCAAGGGGGGTGTCTTCCAAAAGAACTTACTGTTTCATACCTTTGAGTTTGTGAGGATGAGTGGCAGCTGGCCAATTCCTGAGTTGCCCTTAAGGACTGTTCCCCGTCATCCCCAGACAGAGCACTTAGTGCATTCCTTCCCTAGCCTCGGCGTGCTGGCTGTTTTTTTGTTGACTTGACACTAGCTAGAGTTCTCTGGGAAGAGAGAACCTCAGCAGAGAAAACGTCCCTACACAAATGGCCTGTGGTGCGTTCTCTTACTTAATGATTAATGTGGGAGGGCTTATCCCATTTTGAGTGGTGCTACCCCTGGGTTAGTAGTCCTGAGTTCTATAAGAAAGCAAGCTGAGAAAGCTTTGGGGAACAGGCCAGAGAGCAGCATCCTTCCATGACATCTGAGGTTGCTGCCCTGCCTGAGTTCCCGCCCTGGCTTAACTTGGTGATGGAGTGTAGCCTGAGAAGTGTAAGCTAAAATAAACCCCTTCTTCCCCAAGATGCTTTTGGTCATGGTGTTTTAGCACAGCAATAGAGATTCTAATTAAGACACATACCCAGGCTTTTCTAACTAAACTGCAATTTTCTCAAGTCTTTCTATTCTCCTTTTTGCTTCTGATTCTCAGTACAAACCTGGCTAAAGGCAGCCAGCAATACCCACACCATGGCTGAAATGCTGGGAGGCCTTAAATGTCTTCCACAGGATTAATCACCTCCCACAAAGTGGTACAATGCTGACAGACTGTAGACAAGGCCATTACAGGGATGTAGTATATGTGGCCTTCAGTCCACACGTGAATAGCATCCTTGTTCCTATCTGAAACCACACATAGTCTTTACTGTCTACATTTCCAGCAGGATTGTGGGGCTTTGGAGTTTCACTAGAATTGCTCACTAACTTCTCTGATAGCCTCTCAGGCTTTCTCTAAAATAGTCTAAGATCTTCCCACAAAACAGTTCCAAAGGTTTAATAACAACATAGTCAGATTTAGTCATACAAATGTTCCTACTTCTTTGGTGCAGTTTTCTGGGTCAGTTAACTTTCCATTGCTGTGACCAAATTATCTGAAAGGACAACTTAAAAGGAAAAAGAGACTTTAGTTGAAGGTTTCAGAGGTATAGTCCATAGTTCCTGACTATGTTAATTCTGGCCTATGCTGAGGCAGAAAGTTACTGTGGCAGGGGATGCAGCAGAGGCTGATTACCTAATGGCAAACAGGAAGCAGACAGGGAAGGGGACCCGAGAACAACTAGAACTTTGAAAGCATGCTCACAGCGATCTACCTTTTCCAGCTAGCCCACATAAGTTTCCAGCACCTTCTAAAACAGAGCTATTAGCTGGGGACAAAGTGTTCCAAATGTGAACCTGTGGGGGATATCTCATGCTTGTATAACAACAAGTCTGTGGTTCAGACCCACTGGGATAGCACCAATGGCTGCACCAGGAATCTACTTCTTTTCTTTCTTAGAGACAAGTTCCTTGAGGCCCCCAGTGTTTTCTGTGTTCTCAGTCACTAACTAGTGCTTCAGTGCAATACTTGAATACATTTGTGGGGCTCTGTGTGGTGTTCTGATAATGTGTACACACTGCAGAAAGATTGAAACTGTTAACATCTATCATCTACTGATTAATCATTCACAGTCTTTCAGAAACACTAAACTGGATGTTGAAGACAGGCTCCCTGCTGTGCCAGTTCTCCAAAATCTCTTCCTCATACCAGCCACCCCCAGCCTCCTGTAAGCCTTTAAGTAACCAATATTATCTCTCTGGTCCCACCCCTCGTGTATGTGCATCTGGAGGCCAGAGGACAACCCTGGATGTTTCTCCTCAGATGTTATTCGGCTTTTCTTTTCTCTTACTTTCCTTCGCCCGCCCCAACTGCCCACCCGTCTGTCAATAGGCTCTCTTATTGGCCTGGAGTTTACTGCTTAAGCTAGACTATCTGGCCAGCAAGCTCCAAGGTCTTCTTGGCTTTGCCCTCCCAGAACTGGAATTACAAGTGTGAACTCAGGTTCTCATGTAAAACACAGATTCTTTATTCCTTCATCTGTTGATGAAAAGTATGGAGGTCTTAAGCTTTATTTCCGGCCTCTAACAATGTCATTTAACTGGTCACGGTGATGGACCATTTTTGAGACAGCCACTTTCTCATTGGCAAGGCTCGTGACTACTTATGACTAGCCAGAGTTTTTCTAAGCAGGAGGTACAGCTATACTTGAAGGATCAAGGCTTTTGGATCTTTCAGGCTTAGTTCTTTGAATCTTTGTTCTACAACCTACTTGTTGATTAGCATTTTCGGCTTTAGTTCTAAGAGAGTGAGTTTTATCAGTCCTTTAGTAAAGATTGTTGAGTGTTATACTCACCATTAGCTCCATGGGCTCTGTTGGATCCAGTGGCTACATTTTAAGAGTGAACATTTTAATAAGTACCAGTCACCACTGCCATCCACAGAATTGTCCAGTGTGAAATGAAACCAGGCAGAAAGGACAATATGTAGCCATGCAATTAAAGTATAAAATATTATAACTATACATAGTTATGATAGCAATGCAATAGTTACTGCTGTTGTTTTAGTGAGGACCTTTGACGTTTCTTAGCAAGACAGGAACACATTGACTAGTTTACAACCCATAGCAGAGAATACATTCAACAAGAGAGCTACCACAGTTTTGGTTTTTTAGGGGGTGATGGTGGTGGCACAAATGGAAAACAGACTGCAATATAGCTGTGCTAGTTAGCTTTGATTGTCAGCTTGACAAAGCCTAGCCAGCGTTATCTGTGGGGAAATCCTTGACTGAAGAGTTGCCTCAACCGGATTGGCCCGTGACCACCTATGGGGAACTGTTCTAATTAACTGATGTGGGAGGTTGCAGCACTGGCCCTAGGCAAGTGTTCCTGGGCTGTATAAGAAAGTTAATAAGCACGAGTCTGCAGTGAGCCAACAAACAGCACTCCTCCATGGCTTCTGCTTCAGTTCCTACTTGAGTTCCTACCCCGGCTTCCCTCAATGGTAGACCTGGAAGTGTAGGCAAAATAAATCCTTTTCTTCCCTAAACTGCATTTGGTCAGTATTTTATCAGAATGAAATGAGGACAATATCTATGGATGCTCAAATGAGCTTTCTTTCATGAGTGACTAGGGACTGATAGAACATTTACTCTAGAAGTTTAAGCAGAATGGCAACAATCACTATAGAACTGTAGGGCTGAGAAAGCAGCCAATTGTCTTTCCCAAAAACTTGGAGAAAGACCAAGTGCTGCCACTATGGCCTGTCAGACACTGAGGTTAGGGAGAAGCAGGACTATGGTGCTAGTCAGTACCTAGGGAAGGTGTTCAAGGAGTTAGGGATGTAGTTTAGCTGATAGTGTTTGCCTAGCAGGCAAAACATAAAATCATAAAACTGGGTGTGGTGGTGAATACTTGCAATTCTGGCATTCTGCAGGCACAGTCAGGAGAATCAGAAACGAAAGGTCATACTTCGCTATACATTGAGTTCACAACCATCCTGGACGCATGAGACCCCGTCTTTGTGGGTGTAGAGGGAGGGAGAAAAAGCCAAGGTGTTCTCCCTGTCATTAAGGAAGTGCTCTATACCAGGCAAGGTCTGCATAGGGGCAGCACATTTATGGCCGAGACCATGGGTCCAGGACAAAGGGACTGGGTGGTTGGATGGAACAGTTTGATGCTCCCACAATTTTTGTTGAGAATTATTTTTTAAGACTTGTGTGTACAGAGGCTAATATATAAAACAAGAAATATCCAGCAATGAGTGACAGATCAAGTGTGGGACAACCCAAGGCACACAAGTAATTTCTGGTTTTGATGAGCTAATGATAAAGACAGGAAATATAAATGGGTCAGATTTGCCAGCAGAGACGAACAGTTCTTGAGTGGGGAGTGAGGACTGAAAGGAAAAACAAACAAAAAACCCCAACACACTACACATGGGATCTGCTCAAGAGGGCTGCCAGTAGAAAGTGTCACACTGGTTTATTCCACAATATCTTTTCATAGTCAGAGTAAAGCACCTCAGTACAATGAAGGGGTTCATGGAGAAGTCAAACTTTTTTACCTCAACTACCTGTCTGTGTGATCCTCACACAAACAAAAGGAAGTGAACTTGGCAAAACATCCTGCTTATCCCTGACTCCAGGTGAAGGCCAGGGTGAAAACATGTTTTTCCACTGAGAGCTCAATAACAAAGCAGCCTAGCAGCCTGACAAACTAGTGGCTCTCCACAAGTTAAGAGTTTTCTTTTCTTTTCTTTTCTTTTCTTTTTTTTTTTTTTTTTTTTTTTTTTTTTTTTTTTTTTTTTTTTTTTTCTTTTTTTTTTTTTTTTTTTTTTTTTTTTTTTTTTTTTTTTTTTTTTTTGAGCTTAGTGGCGGTGGCCCACACCTTTAATCCCAGCACTTGGGAGGCAGAGGCAGGTGGATCTCTGAGTTCAAAGCCAGAATGGTCTACAGGGCATACCTCAGCTTGTGGCCACATCATTTCAACCTTTGCTTTCTGTATCATATTGCTCTTTCCAACTCTGACTCCTGTTTCATGTGTAAATATCTTTATCATTATATGAGGACCAAATGAATAAACCAGGGTAAAGTCCCACCGTCAAGATCTTTAATTTGATCATATTCATATAGTCTCTTTTGCCCTACAATGTAATTTTGAAGGCTTCGGATCAGGATATGTACATATTCTGTTACTCTCATTTAAGCACATCACAATGTGTATGGGTGTATCAGAGGTGTCTAACATGCAGCTTAATGTACAGTTTTTTAGATGAGAGATTAGACCTGGAAACATAGACAAAAAGTCATTGGCATGTTAGGTACTTTGGATGTGGCTGCTCCTGAGGGGGCAAAAGGTAAGGAAAATACTAAAGGCATTATTTTAGGAGACATTATTACATGGGCATCAGGATTAGAATTGATGCACGCAACAAATGCTGAAATGGTAACAGTTTAAGTAAGAAAGAATTCTCTTAAAATGGTAATGTAGTCTGGTTTATATGGCATCTTCACTATACTGTCCATGGGACACATTCTTCCATCTTTGCACTTCATCTTCCTTGGCTGCCATCTTCAGGTGCCACCAACCCAACATGGCTGCTCAGCAGTCATCCCTCCAGGTTTCTGGGGGGGGGGGGGGATGGGTACAGAATAGACAGAAAGAAGCCTATTAATGGGATTGAGAAGGGGTGATCATGAGGAAAGGACAGAGAGGTTGTGGCTATTACCTCAGTGCACATCTTTGCTTCTATATGAACTCAGAGGTCCGGTTTAGCTGTGGTGCATTCAGTCCCCACTGTTGAGGTACTCTGCTTTCTGTGTCAGAAGAGGGCAGCCATTCCAACTGACTGAATCTATTAGTAACGACCTTGATGTTAAATTTGGGTTGGAGAATAGAAAGAAAGCTATCAGAATCTTCAAGTAGGTCTCTCAACAAAATAACTTAATGGATACATCTACATTTTGTTTTGGAGAATTTAACCTGAATCTTGACCTGCGCTTCAGTTAACTAAATTGCCCTTCACCACATTGAAATGCCAGCTTGGTATGCTGCTGGAATGGACAGGCCTTTTTTGTATTTTCCAAGAAACACACACACATATATGTTTTTACATATATAAGTATATATCTGTGTGTATATATATAGATACATACATACACACACACACACACACACGCACTCTAATCTGATTCACAGATCTCTGTCCTTCCACCTGTGACCTATGCACTCAGCAAACAATTCACTGAGCTAGCACACTGAGCTTTTGTTGTACTGCACACTTTACATTCAAGAATCACTGAAGCACTGCTGCTCCAGAACCAACAGTCTTCAACAGTACAACTACTTAACACTACTCCAAACAAGTGAATGATGTACTGTGATGGGCTTTTCCTAGTTTCACGGGTAGAGGGTCCTCGAGGCAGCATGCTGCTTTGACCTATACTGAATCTCTGGGGAAGCAGATTGGATGTGTAACTCAACATTTTCTATCCCATACCTTCTCTCATGTAAACATTACCATTGTGACTTCTCTGTTCTTGTTGAGATGACTGTTAAGGTTCAGGAAAACCTTGGACAGGACTTGTGTTACACCAGCAAACCAGGTAAGAACTACACCAGCCAGGTATGGTGACATGCTTGTACTCTCAGTGCTAAGGAGGCTAAGGCAGCTGTTCAGAGCAGCCTAACCCAAGGCAGACTGTGCCTCAAAATAACAAAATGCCAACCAAAACATCAAACTAACAAAACTCCAAATCTTTGTTGGGTTACTGGAAAAACATACTTGGAAGTTAAGTGTACAAACAGTAGGCATCCATTCTTCCTTTTAGTCTAACTCAACCCTGTTTAGGAACACTCTTAGGGGAATATCCAGGTTGCAGTTCATGAAATTACTGTTCTCACACAGGGAGGGGTGAACTTTAGAACGACATGATGGATACAAATCTCTAAAGCTGCCACTTGTAACCGAGTGAGCTTCAGGTTCAATCCCCTTGGAAAAATCATGTGTCCTTTACTCCTAAATATGCACTTTGATTACTGTAGACAATGTGGCAGTATGTCTGGTCTAGCCAGTCCAAAACTAGCTAACATCGGTTATTGAGTGCTAGTTAACATGCTACATAGTTTTGTAAATTCCCAAAGCTATGAGGGCTAATGTCAGTTTACAGACAAGGAATCTAAGGTACAGAAAGGTTAGTGTGCTTGGTTCTGCTAGGTACTGCCAGCAGAAGGCTCAAATTTGGGAGCTGTTTTTCTCCAACTTTCACCAGTAAAAGCCACAAAGTTATATTTTAAATATAATATGTAAAAATTTTGTGTACATGACTTGGAAAAGTTTCTCCTAGTTGGAAGGGTCCAGTCTGGACCTATACAGGCCTATTCAGGTAGGGACAGTTACAAACTCATTACTCACACTGAATAAAAAAAAGCTACTACTTAAGAATTTACACACAGTGCTTATTTGTATTATGGAAGTATGCCATGAGGTCCTGAACCGAAAAGAACACAGTCCAGCATTTCACCTCGCGTAGAAGAGGGAGGCCAAGGGAGGTCGAGCACACTGAGATATCTGTATCATGTAGAGATACCGATAGTCTGATTGAACATTCTGAGCCATCACGAGATTAACAGCATTGCTCAAGGCAGGCAGCAAACCAGATGAATTTCCCTTTTGTCCAGGAGGTAAAGAATTCATGTTGGAAACTGGAGGAGCATTTGCCATGAGAAAGGAGTAGGGAGGCTAAGATGCTCAAGGAGCCTAACAACACAGTAGCTGCAGGACTGGGAAACTGGATACATAAAGAACAGTTTGACAAGGTGTCCACTGCTCCAGTGGACTTAGGGTTGATTCTATTACAGGGACTGACTGTAGAAACACATGACTTCCTCCAAGACTCAGGCATGGGAATGGAGAAAGCAGATGGCTGAGGGCCCAGGCTGGGTTTACAGAGCAGATCAGGAGAGGAAGCACAAACGGCCATGGTAGAGAATGTGGAGAATTCAGAGACTGAGAAGAAATCCTGAGTCTGGCTAAGGACAGAGGTCACAAGTGAATGACAGCGGCCTGGGGTTTTTAAAAGTCCAAGTAGATAGGACAGACATTCACTGGTATGTGGATGACTAAGAAAGGCTATCGGGGAGCCTAGGTGAGCTCAAGGGCTTAGTGGGTGTGATGATGGGTAGTAGAGACAAAAGGTTCATGTAGATGTCTAGACCCCACCAGCAGCTGCCTGTGCCAGAAAGGATTGGGAAGATGCCATAGTTATGAGGCTTCTGTTGTAGACAATGTAGAGACTGAGGGCCACAGGAGCATAGGCCTGGAGCAGTTCCTATTAAAGCAAGTATCTATTAGAAGACAACCTGCTGGTTAATAGTACTTGATCAAATGGAACCATTTGAAACTCATTCCAGATCTGATACCTGTTTCTGGTCTCTGTCCTTCAGACACACATGTGGTTCTTGTACATAGATTCAGGCTCAACACTCATCACATAAAATATAAAAAAAGATGTACTCACTATTATTCGTCTTTTTGAGACAGTTTCCCTGTAAAACACTGGTTGTTGAGAATTTTTCTGTAGACCAGGCTAGTTTTTAACTCAGAGATCTTCCTGTCTCTGCCTCCCAGTGCTGGGATTAAATGCCTGCACCACCACATCTAGCTTGAGAGATGATAAATAAATAAAATGAGACATGACTCAGTTCATATAAAGTTTTAGAAGTCACCTGGAAAGGGCAGGGGTCAGTCTATATGATAGCTAGCAAGGTAATTACCTAAGTAACCTCTAAGCTTTGTCCATCTATGAGCAACACAATCTTGTTTTACCACCTGGCAAGTCTCTACGTTAGTGAAACCTAACTTTATTTTTTGAGACAAGGTCTTATGTAATCCAGTGTGGCTTCAAATTCACTATAAAGAATGACTTTGAACTTCTGATCTTCCTGTCTCTACTTCCCAAGTGCTTGTACCACCACGCCTGGTTTAGGTACCAAACCCAGGGCTCGAAACATGCTAAATAAATACTCTTAGCAACTGAGCTACATCCCTGAGCCTGGTGAGACTTTCTTAGTGTCACAGTTTCTGAACTACAATTTCTATTGCAGCTCAGGCTGACATAGAACTCCAAATCCTCCATGTACCACATAACTGTCACTACCAGGTCTTAATGTAGCATGAAACCAGCCATAAACAACACACAAATGAACAAATGTGACCAATTCAGTAGGGATTTTACTTTCTATCAGGGGTGAGGTTGGATTAGGCCTATGTGTGATAATATGACACTACTCTAATCAGTTTTAGTCCCCAGCCAACATTTTCTATGTTACGCCTCAAATAATACAATGATCTAGTCCAACAGTTCTTCCTCCAAGGTTACAATCCAAGCTGTAGACCTAGTAAATGTTAAAATACTAACTCAATGTTTAAATGTTATACAGACACCTACTAAGAGCCAGTGTAGAATGTGGTTAATTTCTAGCGAATAGGAAACAAAAAGGTAATTTCATTATGCGTGCCACAGCATGTGTGGAGGTCAGAGGGCAGGCTGTATGCCTGTCCATGTGTCTGTCTTATGAATGATGAGCTGTATGCTGTTGATGGACAGGGAGATTACCAATGAACCACATTTATTCTTCAGGAATACAGGCATATGATAAACCTAAGTTTTCTGTGTGAAGATAGTTTAGGATATGACTAATTTTTCAAGCACATTAAATTCCCAACCAAAATAATCTAGAAGTTAATTAAGTCTAAACTGAATACTTTGGGTTTTATTAAACAAATGGATGCAGCCAAAGGTCAGGGTGTCTTCTCAGTTATGCTCTGAAGACTCGGCAGGGAACAGGCATCCTGGGTGTATCTGCACGAGCTCACCTGGATGCTCCATGCAGCTCATTCAGGGCCCACCAACGTCTTTGGCTTTTAAAACATTCTAACAAAAGGAAGCTCAAATAGGTACCACTAGAAATGAATTGGTTTCAGCTTACTTCTGAGTTTAATCAATATGAAGTCATTTAAGACTACGTAGCTGTGGAAGGCTAGTCTGTTAAGACCTTTTTCCTAGACAGCCAGCAGGTACCCCAACATGTCCTTTATCCAGCAATCTCCTGTGGTTAAAAGGAACAGATATAATAGAATGCCTGTAAAAGGGCAACAAGACAGAGGTGCCTCTCCACCCACCTAACACAGCCAACTTAAATTCAACAGGCAAAGCGTCGTAAAATCAGAAGCAAGCATGAGATTTAGACTAAGGAATTACCACTGTTCAGAAAGGCACTGGAATTTATGCACATAAGCTCTAGATGCATGCCATAAATACAGCAGCCACTAGCTAGTTGTGGCTACAGAAATTTAGTTCAATAAGAATTTAGTTCTGTAGTCATCCTACATTTCATGAGTTTAACTGCCACAAGTGGGTAATGGACACGTAGGTGTAGAAGAGCCATTACAGGAAGTTCTATCGGGCAGAGCTTTCCTAAGCATTCAGAATTTAGGTGGCACCGGGAAGCTCACCTCACTTCCCTTTGTGATACCACTGAACTGGCCACCTACAATAAGCAACTAAGAACACGCAGATGAGTTGGAGTGGTAGCTTTTTACCGCCCTTGCCTTATTCCTAAGGAAATGTACCCTTTATAACAAAGACTGTCCCCTTTCTGCATTACTCACAGGGCTTCCCCTCTATATCACTAGATATTTTACTTGAGTCTAGTTAGCCTTAGAACATAGGAGGTACCAACTGTGCAATGTAGGCCTTAGACAATGTTCTAGGTCCAGAGATTACAAATTAAATCTGTGAGTCATCAGAAGGGATGCTTTCCTCAAGCTTCCACAAAAGGTATACCTGGTGAGGTAGCCAGCATGTCAGGAAATGACTCAGTCACCAGGGCTTCATCACTTCTAGGTTAAAGTATCTGAATTTATTTATAAGCTATAACACTAACAAACTATGCGTTACACTAATGAGGCTTCTTTGAATCAATACTGAAACACCCATATTATAAAATCTTAAGCCAAATGTCTATATTCATCTTAATGGCTTGATGTTTTTTGTTTTTTTTTTTTCTTCTATCATTTGGAGGATACAAGAAAATGGTAACTCCAAGGCTTTCTTTCTTTGCACATTGGTTAAAAAGGGTTAAAAAGTGTCCCTTGAAAGTCGTTTACAAAACTAACAAAACTTAGGACTCACCAAGTCCTATGTTACAAAGCTCAACCTCTGAAGTACTTACAAAGTAAAAAGCTTATCAGGGTTAGGAACACTGATTGCTCTTCCAGGGGACCCAGCTTGGATTCCTACTGCCTACACTGCAGATCCCTCTGTAACACCAGTCCCAGGGGAACTAACAATCTCATCTGGCCTTCAAGGGTAATGCAGTATGTATAGCACAAACATATAAACAGATAAGACACCTATACAAATAAGATAAATCTTAATCCAAAACTCCAAATTACAGAAAACTTTCCAAATTTGTTTCCAGACTGTCTTCAATTTCTTATATGATGTAAGGTTTATCAAAGTGTCAGACTTCAGGGTCCTAGTTAATCATTCTCCACACTTCTGAAGTCATTGATGAGGTTCTTTTCCTGCTATTACCCTTATTTCCCTACCGTTTTCTATACAATTTAGGACTTAGTGAGTATGTAACTATTTCCGCTTATACATCATCCTGACAAAGAACTAAGGGTGAAGTGTTGCTCTAGGTTAAGTTGTTCCCGAGATCAAAGGAACACCACCCAGTGCCTTCACTAGAGCATGGCTTTCAATCAGGGAAAGTTGAAACTAAAATTTTAACAGTCATTAAACAAGGCACAATCAAAACATGATCTGTGATTGTTTTAAATTATAGTCTTACTGTTGGTAACTTACAAACTATGTCCTTTATTTTAACCTTTCCATCTAGTAAGTTGACAAAGAGCACCATTACAACCACACAGACAGAAGTTCATTCCACTATTGTGTTTCTGAATGGGTGTCTAAGGACAGTCCTGAATTACAGTGTCGTCTCAGATAATAAAATAAATTAGAAAGGTCCAAGTTGCTGGTGACGAAAAGCATTTCAACTTACAGATGAACCATAAAGTATTAAATACTCTTTATTTGATATCTTACGCAAACTCAGTGTCTTTCCGTGGTAATAGGGCAGCATCCTTGACATAGGGAATTTAAATAAAACAGCATCATCAAGAAAGACAGTTGCTTACTGACGTTTAGCCACTGCCTGTAACAGACCAGTGAGCACAAATTGAGACACAGGGGAGTCTTATTTCTGAGACAATGACAGAGTTTTCCCAGTGTTTAAACACATTCATATGCCCATTTATATAAATCTAAGTACAAAACCATTTAATAGGTTTGAGGTGACACCCCCACCTTTGTGGAAAGTAGAACATTACTACTTAAGTCCAATCTTATCTTGAGAAAGGGAGAGCAGTGATAGTCTATTTGCAACTGGATTGTTATTTTGAAAAAAGGTCATATCCATTTTACTACAAGTCAGTTTTACTTAAATTGGGACTGTCCAACAAAAATATTGTCAGCCATTCATGATCTGAATTTTGATGTACGAATTAAATTATGGTACAATTAAAAGCCATGAGACATTTGTTTTGTAATAAATAAGGCAGTGGAATTACTCATTGGTAGCCTTTTTAAGATAAGCTATTAGGTCTGCCCTTTCTCCCTTCTTCTTAATTCCAGCGAAGATCATTTTTGTTCCAGGGATGTACTTTTTGGGATTCTCCAAATACTCCATCAGGGTATCCTCTCCCCAGGTGATACCTAAACAGAAAGGGACGTAGCAGTTAAGTGTTTTACAGTCCTGATAGGTCTGCGTTGGTTACACCCATACAATCGGTGCTAAGGCTTAACAGTCAACAGTCCCCTACTTACCTTTGTTCTTGTTGGCATCTGTGTAGGAGAATCCAGCGGCCTGACCTGTCTTCCGCCCAAAAAGACCATGGAGATTGGGTCCAGTCTTATGCTTGCCTCCCTTTTCCACAGTGTGGCACTGGGCACACTTCTGAACAAAAATCTTCTTGCCTTTCTCAACATCACCCATTTTCTAATTCTAAAAATGAAAAGACCCAACAGGTCAAGTAACTTGTTACAGCAACACATACAACGGATCCCAGTGACCATTCAAATCACCTCGCTACCAACCCACTGCTATTCTTACCACCTCTAATACAAGGCCGGATGCTACCTTAGTCCATTTGCAATATTCTTCGTTAGCAAACACAGTATGCAGGAGACCCTCCTTTAAAGCGGGTCTGTATTCATGACAAGTTCATGCCCAAGGAACGGAAGTGGAAACCCAGCTCAAACCTCAATTCCAGAAGAGGGCAAGGTCAAAAAGTCACAAACACGAAACTGGACTATAATTCCTTTAAGCTCAAACCACTACGATTCTAACATCTCAGGATGCTTAACTGCTGTCTGTGCTGCCAATTAAAGCCAATTCCAAAGATAAGACAAAACACATCAACGGAGTGGTGAGGCGCGGGGCGGGTGGAGGGTTCTTGGTGCTTTCACGCGCCCTGGTCTTAAGTGGAGGCTAAGTCGCTCTCTCTCGCATTAGTCTAGCACCGGAACGCAAAGGAGGGTTGGGGTAGGAACCTTCTCACTCTCGCGTTCTGAGACCCCGGGGGTGACCACGAGGTCAGCCATCCAGGCCGGTCTCAAGGAGACTGAGGAAAGCCACCCTTCGCCTCCTCAGGTAAAGATCAGGCTCAGCCCTAGAGGAGCAGCAGCTACCGCTCCCTGAAAGGGCGGCGGGCGAGTCCCCTCCAGAACCCCGGGACCCAGCCCTGCAAGCCGCCTCCAGCCCTCCCCTGCCGCAGGCCCGCAGGCCCGGCCCGCGCCGGCCCGGCCCGCGCCGGCCCCTCGCGCCTCTCTCGCCCCGCGTCCCCGGCGCGCGCTCACCGCTCCGGGCTGGTCGACACAAGAAACGTTATGTCCCGAAGACCGACGTCCCGCTCTCTAGCCCAAGGACACGCCGGCCCGCGCCTATGTACCGGTGTCGGTGCAACCACACTTGTTCCACCCGTCCGCTGCCTGACGTGCGGCAGCGCCCGGAGCTGCGTCGTGACGTAGCCGCGCCTCATTGGCTCCAGCTTCGTCCGCGCTCGCGAGGTGCGCGCGCATGCGGCCTAGCATGGTAGGATGTGCCCAGAGGGCGCCCTTCCTCTAGGGACGTCGTGAGCCCGACACTTACGACAGGCGCTGGAACGTAAGGCGCGGACGTGGATGACGTCACCCCCGGGTGCCTGAGCCTGCGGACGCCGGAGGCGGGGCGGAGGCTCCCTCGGGATCCCGTGCGCGGCTCAGGTAACACCCACGTCAGAGGGCTCCTGCCGCCGCCCACGGAGGCTGCCGAGACAGCAGTTGGGTCGGCTAGCGACCTTTACCCAGGCTTGGTCAGGGCTCCCTGGCCGGCGCCAGCTGCACCGGCTTTCGAGTGGACGCCTGCTGGTGACCTTCACCCTGTTAAACCATCTTCTTCCTTCTCTCGCGGTCACCCAGCGCCTCAGAGCTGGGGAAGGTGAAAGCAGAGCGCGTGAAAGCAGCAGCAACGCCCGGAGTCCCTGCTCCCTTCCCCTAGTGTTTAGTAGAAAAACGAGGGTGGTCAGAGGAGCTTTTGGAAAGAAAAAGGGTTTGACCTGATGAGAGGAGTATTGGGAATCCACTGGGACTTGCATCCCTTCTGACCGTATTGGAGGTGGAAGTTTTGTTAGCAAGTTTCCAGTTGTGCTTTAAAACTCCCCGATACCCTAACTTCTCGCACTAGAAGTTAACGTCATTATTCCTGTCCCAAATTCTGATGAGCGCAGGTCCTTTCCCTCTGTTCCGCCTAGCCTTGACGTACTCCATACTCTGGTGGAGTTTATTATATTCTACCATCCTTCCTTCCACCGTCAGATTGACACTAGATGTCGGGGCTAGTCTTAAGTGGCCGAAGATCCCTCTCAAGCCACTCGTCCTGTGATCTGCTCCAGGGAAGACATCAGCCTGTATGAGTACAGTTGTTCTTAGGTATCCCCCGGGACAGCTAATTCCAGAACAATTCCCAGAACCCACACAGAATTTCAAAGGTGCTCAACTTCCTCTCATGAAATTGTGTAATATTTGCATATAATCTACACAGTCTCCCCAATATTTAAGTAATCTCTTAATGTCAAACACAATACTATATAGTGGCACTTAGGGAACATGACAAAAACTCTAAAGTCATTCAATATACCTGAGAATATTGTAAGTCTTAACTACACAGTATGTGATGTGATCTACTATTTTTGGACAACATGGATGTGGAATCCATACATGGAGGTCTGACTGTATTTTCATTGTTTTTGAACTGTCATAACTTTAATTTCTCTTTCTCTAACATAACTCTGTATGGTCACACCTCTTTATAAGACCATCACACATATTCAAGACTTTTTGTAGCTTGTGGGGGCATTCATTGAGTATTCAGATATAGTCCTTATATTGGCTTATTTAACTTATTTGTATAAAGGCTTATTTAGCAAACTTTTTAAAGACCTGGCATAGCATATCTGTAGGCATTCACTATGTCTTTAAACCAAGTCCTGATATTGCTTTCCAAATTTCTCCAAAGAAAATGTAGTCCTTACTGAGGTCATTATTCTCTCAGTATGTTTTCTCTGTGTAACAGAAGTTACTGGTCTTAGTTTTAAAGGAGTTGGCTGATGACAAGTTTTTCAAGAACATCCTACTGCAAATCTTATAAGTACACTAGTGACTTAGTTGACCAAGTGGATTGACATATCCATTTATTCCTGTATACTAGGCTCAGTTGATTGCTTTCACAGCATTTACAAAGCCCTGGGTTTGATTGCTAACACTGCATAAATGGGTGATGGTGGTGATGGTGAGGTGCACCAGAAATCCAGGCACTGGGAGGGAAGAGACAGTAGAATGAGAAGTTCAGAGTCATCCTTGGCAAAACAAAAACAAAACATCTTAGTTTTCCTTACCAACCATTTAAACAAGTGGCTCTCTGCCTGGACATGGTTCCAGTGTAGTTTATCCTTCAAAGGTTTCTATCCTGGAAGCTTGCCCTGGGATTAACAGTATTGGAGGGTGGTAGGACCGTTAAGAGGAAGGGCCTAATGGGAGGAACATGACTTCTAGTCAAGTCCCTTACAGCTCAATTGATTCTCCATGAAGTTCTCTCTGGGCTCAAGTTGTAAAGGGCACATTAGTTCTCTCATGAGTGGATTCGTTTCTGAGAGAGCCAGTTATTGTGAAGGAGCAAACCTGGTCCGTCTTGTTTCTTCCTTTGCCACCAGGCTGCCTTCTTGTGCTCCCTACCATATGATGCTGTTTGCCATGAGGTTCTCATCAGAAGCTCTGAGTGTGTGTGTGTTTGTATTCTATATACAACAAAATGCCAGCTACTATAATTCTGAAGGCAGGCCAGGGAGGAGAATAAGAGAAATGCCGGATAGATAGACAGTTTTGCTAATTGGATTTACTGTAGTTTAGTTTCCTCCTTTTTATTGTAGTGAAACACATCACAGAGTTTGCTGTTTTGTTCAGTGGTATGAAGTATAGGCATTTTACACAACTGACCACCATCTGTGGATGGAACTCCATCTTGAGAACCTGAAATTTCATACCTGCTGAGCCGGATAACTGTCCGCTTGACCTGATTCTGTAATATCCAGGTAGCTAGTACTATTTCTAGGTATGTCAGTAAAGTATCTCTTAGAGACTGGCATTTAAGTCAGTGGATTAAGTAAGACAGGCCCTCTTTTATCCAGAATAGGTGGGCAAATGCAATAGGTTGAGGGCCTAGAGAAGGGAACTGCTGCTGTCTTTCGGCGCCAGAGCTCCCTACTTCGCTATGGGACAAGGAATTCTAGGTTTTCTGGCCTTTGGAACTTTCACCAGTAACCCCTTAGTTCTCAGGCAGAACTGCACTATTAGGTTCCCTGGTTGGGGCTCTCTGGGTTTTGAATTTAGCCATGCTACTTCTGGTTTTCCCAGCTTTCTCATCATCCACAGTCACATGAACAATCCTATCAACCCCCGCATCTGTACAAATATTCCTCATTTTATTATGCTGTGCTTTTTTTCTCCCCTTTGTAATATTCTGTTTCTTCTTTCAGATTACAGGTTTGTGGCAATCCTGTATGGAACAAATCTGAAGATGCTGGGTTTTTTGTGTTTTTGTTTGTTTGTTTGTTTTTAAGGTATATGCTCATTTCCTGTCTGTGTAGCACATTTTTGTAATTGAACAATATTTCAGTCTTTGCTGGTATATATTTTTAGGGTGATCTGTAATGTATGGTCACTGATGTTATTGTTATAGTTGTTCTAGTGGCAGGAAATGCCTGCATGCAAGATGGCACAGTCGTATGTGTTTTCTCACCACTGCACTGGCTCACTGTTCCTCTGTCTCTGCTTTCCACTGAGACACAATAGAATTGCATCCAGGCCTGTTACGAAAAAACAAAAAACAAGAAACCAACCAACCAAACAAAAAAATAACGTCTACAGTAGCCTTTGAGTCTTCAATTGAGAAGCAGAGAACAACATATTTTCACTTTAAGTGAAAACCCCACAGGTTTTTAAGCTCAGTCAGCAAAGCATAATGAATGTGAAGACAGCCCAACACTCAGGCTTCCTGTGACAGATAGTGAGGCTGAGAATGGGAAAAGAACATTATTGAAGGCAAGAAACTAAAAACATTGCTCCAGCAAATACAAGGAAGTGAAATACCTCATTGCTGACATGGAGGCAGTTTAGTGATCTAGAGAGATCCCCATAAGCCAAGCCTAATCCACTGTAAGGCTTAACTCTTCAAGTCTACAAGGACTGAGTGGTGAGGAAGCGTTAGGCTAATCTGAAGGTAGCAGGGGTGGCTCATGAATTTAAGCGAAGTTTTGTTTATTAATATAAACTTGCAAGGTGAGGCAGCCAGTGTAAAGCTGCAGCCAGTTATCGAGAAGACCCAGAGAAGATGATTTCCATGCTCTTAGCATTTCTTACTCATCATGACTCACTCCCTACCTTTCTTTGCCTTAATCCAGTGAGCTCTAAGGACTTCTTACCCCTGATACCCCTTGCTTCCCAGATTCTTGCTGGGTTAGGCCAGTGGGAGGCACTGGCAACTTCCTGAAGGATGGGAAAAGGCTTTGGAGTATCACTATCTCCCTACAGTTTTGACTCGGCCCACATCTCTGTGAACAGTTCTCAGCTATACCTCCTTCAGGAGTTCCTTTGAAGATCTGTGTCCAGCTAGGACCCTCATGGGTATAATTTCCCCCTTTCAGAGAAGTACCCCGTCCTCAGCCATGCCAGCTTCCCATGCCAGAGATGCTGGTCTCCTCAGCTGTCCTGCACTGTGGAGTGGACTGTGAGAACACAACACCAGGTGGCTAAGTGGCTGCTTCCTGTCCCCTCCTCCTCCCCTTGCTCTCAGATCTAAAGGCCCCTGGTGCTAAGTCTGAGTCTTTGAGGGTTCTGCCATGTATTGTTGGCTGTTTCCTCTATCTTCAGTTTTATGTGTCCAGGTAGTTAGAAAGCATCTTCCTGATGTTTAATTTTCTTCACTAACCTGGCTGATTTGTGTGTGTGTGTGTGTGTGTGTGTGTGTGTGTGTGTGTGTGTGTGTTGTATGCTTTTAGCATATGGCACAATCTAATGAGCAAATTTTAAAAGGTTTTAACTGTGTTTTTGATCATTTTAAGAGTGAAATTGGATCAGTGGTCTACTTTTGGAATCTCCATTAGAAACTGTTACCACTGAACTTTTTAATGAGCTACGTGGAGTATAGGTATCCGCTTACTCAGAGTCTCTCATTTTAACCATATCAGAGTGAATGACTGTGACAGTGCTGAAATGAAGGCTGTGGTGCTTTTACATGGCCATGGGTAAATACCTGTAGTTAAAATGCAGTTGTACACTCTGGAGACCCAAGGAACAGATGTATAATTAAAACAAAGTTCCTTGGCCTGTTAGATGGCTCAGTGGATAAAGGTGCTTGCTGTAAAGCCTGACAGCCTGAGCTCAGTCCCATGATCCACACGAAGATGTCCTCTAATTTGCACATGTATACTATGTCATGCTTGTGTGTGTCACACAGCCATAGAAAGAAAAAAGGGTGAAACTGTGCTGCACTGTGGAGTCGTATCTTTCAACATTGGTTCCATAGAGGTCCAGTCCCGTGGCCTGTTCTCTGACTAGATAATAGGGTCCGAGTACCCTAATATGTTAACTGTATTGCACATCACCTTGGACAGTTCAATGACTTTTTAAAAAGGCATTTAAACATTAATTTTTAAATTTTTAATAAGTGCCGGTGCATAAATGCCACTGTCATGAGGCCTGCATGTGTCTCTACCCACTGAGTCATCTGTCAGCTCAAAAGCATTTTAAAAATTGGGTGTATGTTATACACATGTGTGTTATGTGTTGTTGTGCATGCAAGATGTTTTCCTCTGTCACTCTCTTTGTCCTTTGAGGCAAGGTCTTTCCTTGAATATGGAGTTTGGGTTTTTCAGGTGGGCAGGAGCCAGAAGCCCCAGTGATCCTTCTTCCTCTATCCCCACTGAGTGGACCCTGGCTGGCATATGTGGGCTCCTGTGTTTGGAGAGCAAGTGCTTTCCCCTGCTGGGTTCTCTCTCCAGAACCTATATTATAAACCTTTTGATGTTATGGATTGAACCCAGGCATGCTAGTGAGGGACTCTACTACTGAGCGACACTTGAGCCCAGCGGTCTACAAAATTATGAACAATTTAGAAATTGTCATGTGATTGATTGCATTACAGTTTTCAGTATTTTAATATGGAAATTTTGCTTAATACCTACCCACAATTTGTAATTTTAGCTCAGAATAGGTTTAAGTAATGTACATGTTGGTTATTGAACAAAAATAATTCAAAACATGTAACATTTTTGTGTGAACCAGTGAGTTTTATTGGCATTATTTATAAGAATGTAGGTGAGGGTTTATTTGCAGGAACAGAAATGACTCAGGCAGCTGCATCACAGCTTGTCCCAGCATGGGTTGACAGTTCACAAAAGCTGGGACCTTGGGGCTCAGTGCCCACCTTGAGGTAGCTCATCATGCTAAGGCTCTTTCAGGCAGCTCAAGTGGTTTGCACCCTTCTAGGCAGCTCAGTGGATCTCTTTCTGTGGAGCTTGGCTGGTCTGTTTTCTCTGAGCAGCTGGTCTTGTCTAAGCCTCCTCTAAGCAACTCAGCTGTCCCAAACCCTAACTTTGTCATGTTGTTAACTTAATGATAAATTACTTTTATAATGAATCTCATGGGCCAGTGAGATGCTCAGTAGGTAAAACGGCTTGCCACATAAGCTTGATGCCTGGGCTGGAGCCGTAGAACCCGCAGTGGAAGGAGAAGCACCAAGACCCCCACATTGGTGCTGTGATGGGCACACAAACACACAGAGCATCAAAGAGAACTTTTAAAAGCACACCTCTTGGCACACGTGTTGACTTCCATACGGCAGTTACGTACACATTAGGCAAACACCTCAAAGGTGACGGTGTTGGGCTTTGAAATAACTGACATCCAGCCAGACTTTTTCTTGCCAAAATTGGAAGTCTAATAAATTGGATTGTCACAAAATAACTTTACATGTATAAAATAGCTGTTTTCTATCAGAAGGCTATGGGGAAGGAAACAACTCTGCTGTGTACAGGCAGGACATTCAGGATTCCTCTTGCCCACTGACTTGTCGACAGACTATTGAAGTTACACAGTTTGGAAAGCCACTCCACCCTCATTTAACTGGGGATTTGAAGTCTACCTCCTTTCTTTTATTGTTTTTGTTTTTGAGACGGCGATTCTCCTGTAACTCACTATGTAGACCAGGATGGTCTTGAACTCAGAGATGAATTTTACCCATTATTTTGTGAAAACATTTACAGAAAGAGATTGTTGACATTCTAATTTTATTAAATCATGATACATTCTAGAGTTATCTGTTAAATAACTTCAATATTTGAAATTTTCAACTTTGCATTTCTTGCAAAACGATGATGTAAATTTTGTCTGCACATTGATTTTCGTGACTTTAGAAAACTTCAGAGTGTAATTTGAAGACGAGATTAAAGACTAATTTTTTCCATGGTTTTGATATTTTGTTGACAAACTGTTAAATGTTTTAAGAAGTCAGGACATTATTTTGGTTCCTCTGACCAGATCCTAACCTTAATTCTTAAAAACACAACTTCATTAATGTCATTATGGCTTAGTACAGAGAGAGAATCCAGCCAAATGCAGGTCACTCTGTGACATACTTTTTTTTTTTTTTTTTTTTTTTTCCTGCAAGAGGCTGGGATTTGAAGGGCAGAGGGAAATTCTCAATTATAGAAATAATGGGCATTATGGCCATAGAACTGATGTCTCATCCCAGAGTGCAGTTTATCCCTGAGGTCTTTTTGTTCTTCTCGGATGGAGCTGTGCAAACGCTTGTGTGCCATGGACTTTGAAAATGATTTCCTAAGATCTAGCAGGTTGGTCTGAGGCTCAGACGCTTCAGCTCTAGAAATCCATCCCAAAATAGGTCTTCTTTCTTCACGGCTTTCCCTGTCCATGCCCACAAATTCTCGTTTACTTAAGAACCTGTCAATATTGAAATCTATATCACTTTTGTTTTGTAGAATATTAGACTTACTGAGGCGAGCAGGGTTTTGACATCTTGTATATGGGTCACGGAAGGCGGATTTAAGTTGGTCATAGTTAATGTAATGATTTGACTTAGAGTAGGATACAGGTAAGGGTTTCAACGCCAGCTGTCTCCGGTACAAATCATCTGTCTTCTTAGTGTCTGTGATTTTTGGAAATGTTTTTAGGTCATAAAGACTATTCATATCTTTTGCTGGATAAGAAGTAGGGAATTGATAGGTAGATATCAAGCTTTGCTCTTCCTTAATCTTCTCTTCGATATCCTGTTTTTTATGGGTCCTCCCAGGCAGGAAGTTATCCTTCATTGCCAACATTTCTATAGAACTGGGTATGAATCTGTGGAATGCACACACGGCTTTAGGAGTACAGTCTGGACAGGAAGGTCGTCGTTGCTCCTCCATAGCCTCCAGAGGTCGTTGTTTCTGAAGGAGCCGTGCAATTCGACCTTCCAAAGGTCTGGCAGGTTTTAAGGCAGTATGGAATTTTTCTTGCTATACCAGTGGAATAAAAGGGGAAAAATCAATTGATTAATAAATGTAGCATTATAATGATATGGCTACACATAGGCCAGTTTCATACCCAGTTTCACTATCTCAGTAAATAGGAAAGGGCTGGAAGTATACAGACTAAGATCTTTCAGTTTTTATTTAAAGACATTGAATTTGGGCCCATAGAAATAATCTTTCTCTTTTACTGGCGTCAGGTAAAATTAGACACACACATATATGTTTTATTTGGCTATAGACAAGCTTTTCTGTGTGGGAATTCTTGGCTCTCAGAATTTCAAAGATACAAAAGGACTCACTGGACTAAAACTTATGAAATCAAGAGTGCATTGACTCTCCTGGGTAGTTGTTTAAATCGTCTAGGCAAGGCAAGAATTCTTAAGCCTAGGTTGACTCAGAATCACCTTCAGAGCTGGCAGAAAGTGGAGTTCTACCTTCAGTTCTAAGACTAGGACTTGTGAGGTCTACAGTGGAGTTTCTGGGGGATAAATAGCATGTGTAAGAGGGAACAAGCCCGTGTGCTCTGAGCCATCCTCCCAGCTCAGAAACGTGCATTTGAACAAGTGTCGTAGGTGCTGCTGACGCCGTGGCATGCTAAGTGCGTTGAGAAGCACCGTTTGGGGTGCTCAGTCGAGGTCTGGGTACTAGTTTTAGGTCTGTGCACATGCCAAGCAATGCCCTGTCTGTGTTTCCTTTTGAGATGCTTTCAAAGTGTGCGGTCATATTCAGGACACTATTCTGGAGCTGTGCCACCGAGGGAAGAAGAGGTGATATTAGGGCCTGGGTGGTGACATGTGTTCTCTATTGTAGCAGAGGCGTGAATGAAAGCTGCGTGCTTTTGTTTTGACAAATGTACATTTACAATTTGTACAGTTTTAATGAATGTATACTTCAACATTGAACAAAAAGCAAAAAAAAAAAAAAATTCACTCTGATAAATGGTATGCACGTCCACTCCTAAGGGATAAAGTATAGTAAGGCCTGTACTTTCCAATGTGTTTACAATAATAAAAATACCGGTAGCTGGTTAGAGGGAAGAGATTATGCCAACAACTGACTAAGTGTTGATGGTAGAATCTAGCTGGTGAGTATACAGGTACTAAAGGAAAATTATTTCTGTATGCTTGAAATTTTATAATAATATGCTAAAGAAGACACCAAAAAGAAGTATATGCATGTTGATCAGGAAAGGTAACAATGGTGTATGTGTGTGTGCTCACGCGCGCATATGCGTGTGTGTGTGTGTGTGTGTGTGTGTGTGTGTGTGTGTGTGTTTGTGTTTGGGAGGGTAGCAATATAGTTCAGTTGGTGGAATACTTGCTTAGAAGCTTGGGTTCAATCTGAAGTGCTTCATAAAACTAGGCATAGTGGCAAAAGCCTGTAACCCAAGCATTAGGGGAATAGACACCAGATTGGAGTTTAAAGTCATCCTTGGCTATATTGAAACTCTCAGGCCAGCCTGGGCTACATGATACCCCATGTTTAAAAAAAAAAGAATGTTGATAAGATAGTAACAGTAGCATGGAGTTAAAGAATAAAGGACTTTGGATGATCCTTTTTGACTATCCTAGTTGGAGGAATTTCCATACTGAATCATTCATTGTAATAACCTTTAGCTAATCAAGCTTTAGTAAATAAACTGTGAGAGGAAGAAAGACCCCACCTTTCTGATAAGTTTTACTACATTTGCCATTAAAGAAAAGGATATCGGATTTTAGTAGTATCTGCTATGTAAGCAACAACTTTTATTTTATGTGCATTAGTGTAAAGGTGTCAGGTCCCTTGGATTTGGCATTACAGACAGCTGTGAGCTGCCAGGTGGGTTGTGGGAACTGAACCCTTGTCCTTTGGAAGAACAGACAGTGCACTTAACCACTGAGCCATCTCTCCAGCTTGCAACAGCTTTCAGTACATTCTTTTTTCTTCTGACATATCATGGGCTGGCTTTGAAATTGATATGCAGCTGAGTATGACCTTCAGCTCATGAACCTATTGCCTCCACCTTTCAGGTGCTGGAATTATAATTATGTGCCACCATGCCTGGTGTATGAGGTGCCGAACAATCAAACCAGGACTCCATGCATGCTAAGGTAGCACACGACCAACTGAATATCACCTCTAGCCCCAGGACTCGCATGTCATTCTTTAAAAGGTTCACAGGGATTTTTATCACCACTAGAACAGCCTTCCCTGGAGTGGCTGTGCATGTTGCGCACAGCCCAGCGTCAGAGCATGTAACTAACCCAATAGAGAGTGCCCGTGCAAATACAGAATCAAAACAATTAAGAGCCCTTTGGTGGCTTATAAAGCCCAATTTATGGAACCAATTCAGGTGTTTGATTTGGCATCCTCTTCACAAATGCTGAAGCTAATATAAAATTTAAGTGTTCAGTGTGATCTAAAAATAATCCATGTTTTCATATGCTTATAGTTATATATATGTTTCCACAATGTATACCTTTGAAAAATTGTTTTCAAAAGTTGTATTCATACAGAGTACAATTTATGGCCTCAGTAAACCAACAAATGAATATTAGGTCATTTTGCATTCTTTATATAATTGATCTGACAGATTATATATTTTATTACAGGGCTTGATAATTTCTCCCAAGCCACTTATATAATCAATTATTTATTTATATAGGCAAAAAAGTATTGGCTTTTGATTGCAATTCAGTCAACTCTCAATTTTTGTGACTATCAGGAAGAAGTCATTAATTTCTTCAAAAGTCATGGTAACGTGTAAGATACCCAAGTCTGCAAAGATACAGACTTTATCAAGGATCATGAAGTCACTAGTTAAGCTTTACTTTTCATAAGCAAATTCTTTTATGAATTAGTTTATCAATGGTAGCATGGTAGAAAATGTTTAAAAAAATAGTACTGTGAGGAGTTGTTTTTCCAAATGGTGATAAGGATCTCTAGGTCAGTTCTAGTAAGTTCAGAATTATCTTTCAACTAAGATTGTCATTTTGCTTGGGTGTCCACAATACTCAAGACAGAAAACATAGGAAGAGACAAGGCCTGAATGCTCCCCCAAACACACACATAACTGAGAGTTGATTGCAGTTACTTACAGGCTGTGGGTCAAATCCTATTTGTCCAGCTAGATCTGCTACCTCCTTTTCACGGTAATCATCCAGTTCAAGGGGGCTCATGGGCCCTGTACCTTAATGAGAAAATTGTCTTATTATTTTGATAAATGAAGAATGGTACTTAAACTGCTTTGTAAACAGGAAAACCTACTCATTCTCTTTATCATAAATTATAAGCAATAAAATATGAACCAGCCTACCTCCCAAATGCCCATTTAGCAGAGAAACTGAGCTTTCCCATTAATGTGGATTAGTATACAATAAGTAACATGAAAGGACATCAGAAAATGGAAGCTTGTGATAGATAGCATTTGTGAGTGTTCCTTTTTTATTCTCATTACTTGTGTTAGTGGGGACTCATACCTGTAAAATCATGATTGTATGAAGTGATCCAGTGGGACCTCTCAAGGTTTCTTTGTATATTGGCTTCTTTTGCAGACTCTACAGTATCCCATGGGCTCACAGATGGGTTAGGAGCAAAGGTTTTAGGAGGTTTGGGGTAGAATATTGGCTTGTTTTTTTCAGAACATTTAGGAAACTAGAATATGAACATAAAGATAGCTGTTACTAATGGTATCTGCCCAAATGAGGGCTGGCTCACTGTCCCAGCAGGCAAGCGGTACTGAGGTAATTTCTTCAATAATTACTATATTCAAGCCAGGCATGGTGGTTGTAACTACAACCACATTTTATCAAGGAGATGTTCACATCTCTTCTCAAATTCTCTGAGAACTTAGGTTGGAGTTTGTCCCTCGCTACTCTACTTCTAGTGCAATTTCATTAGCCATCCTGAGGGTTCTGTGAACCGCTGGCTGACTTTAGCCAAAGTGGCTGCTTCTTTGTCTTCTGTCCCTGAAAGTGAACTGCACGATGTTGGCCACAGCTGACAAAGGCTTAAGTCACTCACATTAAAATATAATGGTCATTCTTTATCTAGAACTGTAGTTTTATTTTGTATTCTCTAGAGAGTTGTGCATGTAAGCATGGCTAGATGCATCACAGTGTGGCTCTAACCATTCAGTCAGTGCCCGGATGTACACAATGGGCAGAAAAGAAAGAAGGATCATCAGAAGCGAACATGCTCCAGGAGCACACTGGCTAGTACAAGAGAGTAGGGGTGAAGAGACTACAGACAGCTGTTTTTAAAAAGGTTAAGACAAAACTACGTGGAAGTTCTCTGAGGGAAGAGATTGATTCTAGTTGAATGGAGAAGTGAGGCCAGGGGCAGGGTGGGAAGGAGGGAGATGAGAGAGTACATGTTATGCTATGCCACAGCAACTAGGCAGAGATACAGAGACAAAAGGCTACAGAAGCAGACGTGGGGTGGAGGTGGGCAGTACGTAACATTATGCCACTTGTTGCCTGCATGCCAAGACCACCTTTAATGTTTGCAGGGCCTGGGGTTTGAAGTATAAATGGAAGCCTACCATGTGTCTAAACAGTTTAGCTGAAATTAACAAACTGGTTCTACTTTGACCTGCCAGTTAGCAACCTGGAAAGACAGTTCCAAATTTAGACTTCTCAGTCTCTTTCAAGTTTATACTGCAGATGTTGCACTTAGTCTCAGGGGCTCTCTTCTACCTCCCATCACCCCCATTCTGGCTGGTAGCTGTCTCACTACCCCACTAGCCTAGAGCTGTAGACTGGCTGGGGATGTAGTAACCCTCAAGGATGGATACAAAGAAGAGGCTCTAGACTGGTGTGGGGTGGGAGACGGGAACATGTGCTGTACAGGGATCCAGCCTCTTACTCCGTAAGTCCCAGCCCCACGGGGAGGAGCACAAGTAGGAAGGGCAGGGGACAGCCATGAAAAGTTTCTAGGCCCAGGGGTGATACTGTTACTAGAATTCTTGTAATGTTGAGGCAGCTCCCATTTTAGGGAAGTAGAGAACTCATGTAAAAAAAAGACACGAGTCTGTGTCAAGAAATATTATAGAGCTACCTCTATATGTTGCTAATCTATGGCTTGCTTACTTAGGGGTAGAGAAAGCTCCTTTAAAAAGATTTATTATTAAATTTTATTTGCATATACAATATGTATGTGTACTTGTGAGTTTATGCAGGAGCCCACAGAAGACAGAAAAGGGTGTTAGATTACCTGGAACTGAAGTTACAGGCAGTTGTGGATGGTGGGAAATAAACCCGAGTGCTCAGCAAGAACAGCAAGTGCTTTTAACCAGTGAACCATCTTGTCCAGCCCCCCAAAAGCCCTCTGTGTTTCCTTGTCTTTTTCATTATTTGCAGAGCTAGCTTATTTGAAAAAATATGGGCCTTCTTCAGACACTGTTTTAGGAGGTGTGGCTAATTTATTTTATACTGAGTGATCACTTGCTGAGATGCAGTCTAGGACACAAGAAATTAAATATGAAATGCAAGATTTAGTGTTGTCTATGGTGTCTTGGCAAGGGTTTTAATAACCAGGAAACATTCGAGTGGGGCCTCTGTTAACATGGAAAAGAGCTCCCTTTCAAACAGAAGCCAAGGCTCTGTCCAGATGCTTAGGTTTAAGGAAATCTGTTTTGTAATGAACATTAAATTAATAAATAGACTTGGAGAGTCTCTGAAAATTGTTTAAATTAAGTTCAAAGTTAGGGAAGTGAGCTGGGCACAGCAGTGCACAGCTGTAATCCCAGCACTCAGGGAGGCAGAGACAGGCAGATTTCTGTGAGTTCCAGGCCGGCCTGGTTTAAAAAGTGAGGCCAGGACAACCAAGGCTACACAGAGAAACCCTGTCTTGAAAAACAGCAAACAAACAACAACAACAAACAAAAACAAAAAAAGCAAAGTTAGGGAAGTGTATGGCACATCCTTCTGGGATTAGGTCTCATTTTACTCAAAAGATGATTACAAAGTACATTTTGTCCTAAAGACTTTATATCACAAACCGAATGCTAACTGCACTCTGTTACTGAGAAAGAAAGGGCAAGGGGATTTAGGCTTGTCAGCAAATAGTGACATAAGCAGCCCAGAATAAACAAATATTAAAACTTGCTTGTTTACCAAAGGAATGTATGTCTGGCTTAGTAATGGCTGGAAGTGGCCAGACAGGAGATCTCAGAAGAAAGTAGTGGCACAAGAAGACCTGTGTCTTAGGGTTTAATTGCTGTGAGGAGACAGCATGACCAAGGCATCTCTCAGAAAGTAAATCGTTTCACTGGGGCTGGCCTACAGTTTCAGAGGTCTAGTCCATTATCATGGTGGGAAGCATGGCAGCTTGCAGGCAGACATAGTGCTGGAGGAGCTGAGAGTTGTACATCTTGATCTGCGGGCAGCAGGCGCGGCTGTGTGTCACACTGTGCATAGCATGAGCATAAAAGCCTGCCTCCAAGCCTGCCTCCATAGTGACACACTTCCTCCAACAAGGCCACACCTCCTTATAGGCCATGCACTCAAACATACACCACAACACAACCTGGTTAGAGCAGCAAGTACTTGGTAACAACTCGGTTGAGAAAAGAGTCAGATCAAACACAGGGATACTGTGGGCTCTGGGTGGGAATGAGGTACCCAGAGCTCTGCAGTTCTGATAGCATAAGCTTCAAACATGTATCAGGGAGGATGAGGATAAGATGATAATATTTAAAATATTCTGTTAAGGACTAAGCCCTAGGCCAGTGAGATGGCTCAGCAAGCAAAGGTGTCTGCCATGAAGCCTGACAGCCCTAGTGTCATCTCCGAATCCTTGGAAGGAGGGGAGAATGACACCTGGAGGTTGTTCTCTGACCGCACATGCGTTATCTACACACCACCACTGCCAGGCGCACGCCTCTAATCCCAGAACTGGGAGGCAGACAGGTGGAGCTCTGAGTTTGAGGCTAGCCTGGTTTACAGGTAAGTTCCAGGACAGACAGGGCATTTTTTTGGTTTATTTCGAAAAACAAAACAAATAAAAAAGAGACTAGTTAGACCACAAAAGTGAGATTAAACACTGGGGACATGAAAAAGAACAAACCCCCCAGTGGAAAATACTGTCGGAAGCACTGTATATGAGAGACTGGGATGCAGTTAGGCTGGTGGTGTGATTGCCTAGCATGACTAGCACCCTGGGGTCCATCCCCAGTGCTGAATACAACCAGTGTGGTGGCACATACCTGCCATCCTAGCACTTGGGAGGGAGGGAGGAGGATCAGAAGTTTGAGGTCATTCTTGGCTACATGCCAAATACAGTGCCAATCTGGGGTACATGAGATCCTGTTTCAAATGAACAAATATTTAACAACACCCCTCCCAAACATGGTGGAAGATAAAATACAACATACTCTGTTCTCAAAGGAGTTCTAATCAGTTGACAGGCTGTGGATTGGTGTGGAGAGTTACTGGCTATGGAATATGGGAGGTGTTAGCAGAAAAAAATGTCCCTGCTGGCCTGACAATAAGGTCTTATCCAGTGTTTTCCAGTTTTTATATTATTCCCCAAACTTTTCATATTTGTAGGCCAGCTTTACTGAAATCAAACAGATAAGTTAATCAGAGCTCAAAAGGAGACAGTATGCCTCTCATATCACTGAGACAGCAGATGCCCACAAAGGACAGCTACTAACTAGAACAAAGGCCTCCTGACTTAGATCCCAACAATGTTTCAATAGAAATGAATTGTTGAGTGAAACCCTGGAAAATGAGCAAATTTTAGGCAGGCGAAAAGGCCCTGGAAGAGAGCGTCCCATGGCAGGAATCTACTCAGGAAAGGTGGATGAGGGGAAGAAGTAAGGTGGTTTCCAGAGGGCCTTCCTAACTCACTACATCATTGGACTTTATTTCCACTTGGGCAAAGAGGAACCCAAAAAGGAGTAACATGGTGAGAGCACATGGTAGAGACACCGACTCCCAGAACATGAAATAATGGGGTTGTCGCCAGAATAACCTTTCCTGTTTCTGTTGCTTAGGTAACAGATTTTGCCTGAAGGAATCAGAGACCTGTGATGTTTTTATTTATTTGCAAGACTTTTTAAAATGATAGTTTATTTATTAAAAGTATATAATTATAAAAAGATATATAAAAAAACAGAGATGCTGTTAAAATGATTGTTCTTTTAGACATACTACAAAACAAACAGGAATTTTGTACTCTGTGGACAGCTGTGTGGCCTGCCACATTGGTTTCCAGGGAAAGCTCAGATGTTTCCAACATTCCATTACTAACTGCTTACCTAGTTCCCAAATTCTCGGTTGCAAGGAGCTACTATATGGAAGAACCTGAGACTGCCCTTAGAAGCCACTTGGCCAATAAGTGCTAGCCATTATTATTTTCAAATGCCTAGATATGCTCCCTCGTGATTGAAAGTTTCTCCTTTTTTATCCATGTGGAGTACAGGTGAAGAACAGAGAAAAGCCTCACAAGCCTGAACTCTGTAATCACTGCATAGTCACAGTCTCAGTATCCCCATCTATAAAATGGGTTTAGTGGTAATTTTATAAAATTACTGTAAGAGTTAAATGCTGTATCTCAAATTGGTTTGTGTGCAGCAATTTAACATACCGTGTTTTCTTTTAGACTTTGATACAAATGCATTAATAATGACTAGAATGAAAATAGCTTATGAATCTTTCTTTAAAAACCTCATTATTTTATGCATAGGTGGAATTATGTAAAGTACTTAAGATATTATGAACCACAAGGATGGAGTTAGAGGACACAAAGTATGAGAAATGCAGTCCTTCCACAATGTAGTTTCAAGGACACACACCTGCTTCTGTCTGACTACTCTTGAGATGTCCCATACTTAACATCAGTAAATGAAATCAGCTAATAAAATTAAAAGTGTTCAAGTTAAAATTGCACTTTTCATATAGATATAAGTGGTCCACCATGTCAACTTTTATGTGTTTGATGTATGCACTGTGCGTAGGGGGGGATGGGCATGTGTATGGGAGGGTGTGTGTGTGTGCATCCTTGTGGAGACGAGATCAACACTGGGTGTCTTCCTTTCTCGTTATCCATGTTATAATCTTAGAACGAGGCCTGATTAAATTTGGAGCTCAGTGATTCGGGTAGACTGGTCAGGTTCACCCTGCATCCCAGCTTTTTGTGTAGGTACTGGAGATCAGAACTCGGGTCTCACACTCTCACAGCAAGTAGTTTACCCACTGAGCCATCACCCTCATCTCATCTTGTGCATTTTTAAGTGTATTAGGTAAAATTATATTAATTTTCCCTTAAACACACATTTTGAATAATACTTACATCATAATATACACCCTGACCTGGCCAACACAATGCTTTTCTCTTTGAATCCATGGGAATATCATGCAGTTCATATCTGTAGGGGTTACCTGAAAATTGAAGCAAAAGTAATTATTCTGAAGAGGTCAGAGCTGTATTTTAGTTAACCAGACCTATGGGTGTGCTAAGACATGAGGCCAGGTGGAGATGTCCCGTTTCTACCAGAGGCTGTGCTTGAAGTGCAGTGTGTCTGCAGAGTCTGTGTCTGCAGCGGACTGCAGCTAAGTTTTCTTTTTTAGCCCACTGTGACAGGCCATTCCATCTGCTGCTCTCCTTGCCTGCTTTGATCTTACGACGGGATTCATAACAAGGATAAGACAACATACAGTTTTGATTTCAAGTCACATTCTACCTCTTGTCTTCAAAACCATCATGTCGTAGGCTTTGCTTGGTACGGTAGGAGGAAAAGGCTGCTGGCTGCGAGCTTTAACACCAGTGTAGAGGTCCTTAGGTGAGGTGAAGGTCGGAAACATGGCACCACGGCTTGTGTGTGTATGGTAGGGATGTTCAATTGGATACGATGAGCAGATTTCTCTAGGATTTAACAAGTAAATAAAAATAGAGAAGTACAATTAAAAAAAATCAAATATTTACTGGGCTCCATTGCTGTGGTGGATCTGTTCCCGTGGAGATGGTCCAGACCACATTTCTATATTCACAGAGCTAGCATTCTGTAGAAGCTACCATAAACAATGCTAGATAAATCAAAACTAACTTAATCTGAAAAATAATCATACCTAATTATTAGTATTTCCTAAATTGCTAATATAAAGCACACAGTGTATTAATTAGTCTTACAAATTGTAGGAAATATAGGAAGAATTTTTTGTTTCTTTTAACTTTCACTTCATATTTTCTTTTAAATTTATATGTGCATTGGTGTTTTGGCTACCTGCTTGTCTCTGTGAGGTTGTTAGATTCCCTGGAACTGAAATTATAGACAATTGTGAGCTGCCATAGTAGTGCTGGGAATTGAACCTGGGTCCTTTGGAAGATCAGCCAGTGCTCTTAACTGCTGAGCCATCTTTCCAGCCCCACCACTTCATGTTTTAAGAAGATATACATATATCTGAATCTTGAGAAAGCACTATTTGTAATTGTCGGAGAAAGCACCAGATCAATTTCCAAATCTGGTTGTACAAGTTTACATTCCGACCAGCAATTGAGGAGGGTTCCCCTTTCTCCACATCCTTTCCAGCATGTGTTGTCACTTTAGTTTTTGATCTTAGCCATTCTGATGGGTGTAAGGTGAAACCTCAGGGTTGCTTTGATTTGCATTTCCCTGATGACTGAGGTTGAGGACTAAGTGTTTCTCTGCCATTTGATAGGCATATATCCAAAATATGCTCAAGTACACAACAAGGACATTTGCTCAACCATGTTCATAGCAGCTTTATTTGTAATAGCCAGAATCTGGAAACAACCCAGATGTCCCTTAACTGAGAGGAATGGCTACAGAAATTGTCATACATTTCCATAATGGAATACTACTCAGTAATTAAAAACAAGGAATTCATGAAATTTGCAGGCAAATGGTGGGAACTGGAAAGATCATCCTGAGTGAGGTATCCCAGAAACAGAAAGACACACATGGTATATACTCACTTATAAGTGGATATTAGACATAATATAGGATAAACATACTAAAATCTGTACACCTAAAGAAGCTAAGCAAGGAGGAGGACCCTGGATAAAATGATCAATCCTCATTCAGAAAGGCAAATGGGACAGACTTTGGAAGAGGGAGAAAACAGGGAATAGGACAGGAGCCTACCACAGAGGGACTCGGAAAGATTCTACCCAGCAGGGTATCAAAGCAGATGCTGAGAATCATAGCCAAACTTTGGGCAGAGTGAAGGGAATCTTATGAAAGAAGGGGGAGATAGAAAGACCTAGAGGGGACAGGCATTCTACAAGGAGAGTAACAGAACCAAAAAATCTGGACACAGGGGTCTTTTCTGAGAATGATACTCCATCCAAGGACCATGCATGGAGATAACCTAGAACCCCTGCACAGATGTAGCCCATGGCAAGCTCAGTCCCCAAGTGGGTACCCTAGTAAGGGGAACAGGGACTGTCTCTGACATGAACTCAGTGGCTGGCTCTTTGACCACCTCCCCGTGAGGGGGGGAGCAGCCTTACCAGGCCACAGAGGAAGACAATGCAGGCAGTCCTGATGAGATCTGATAGGCTAGGGTTAGAGGGAAGGGGAGGAGGACCTCCTCTATCAATTGGCTTGGGGAGGGAGGGGGCTACAACTGGGATACAAAGTGAATAAACTGTAATTAATAAAAAAAAAGTTAAAAAGACTACACACACACACACACACACACACACAGAGAGAGAATAATTTTGAGCATCTGGCCCAGTAATCCAACATCTTTGACAGGACTTCCAACCCAAGCCACTTGTTTCTTTGAGAGGTCAACAGAACACAGACACACACAGACATAGCAAATTATTTAGATATTAAAACAAAAAAAATAGCACAGTGAAGGAAAGGTTAAAAAAGATCTAATTTTACTATTGCTTGGAGAACTGCCACAGACTAAGGGACAGTGTAGATGCTGTACAAATAAGAAATTTCAGATGGAGAGGTCCGCAGACCAGAGAACAGTGTTTAATTAGAATGCAAGAAAACAAGACAGCTGTTACAGGTTTAATTGTTTCCTCGAAAGCTCTGCGTTGAAATCCTACCCCCCAAGGGCCTTATATTGTAAACTAATTTAGAAATAGGGTCAGTGTATGTGTGATTAGGCATGAGGAGGTCATACTGAAGTGGGGTGGGGCCCTAATGTGAAGGCTGTGTGCTTAAAAGAAAGTTAAACTTGGACACCCAGAGGCATGCACTGAGAACACCAGGTGAGGTCAGAACTGAGAGGTCACATCTATAGGCCAAGACTCTCAGCAGACTTGGGCCAGCCAAGAGGTTCCCTCACAGCTCTTAGAAGGAACCAAGCCTGCCTACACCACACTGCTGTACACCACACTGCTGTACACCACACAGCTCTTAGAAGGAACCAAGCCTGCCACTTAGAAGCTCAGACTCAAGAAAGATGAATGTAACTTAGCAAAAAGGGCTTCCCTTTCATACCCTGTGTGAAGTGCTTTAAAAATCCCCAAACAAGAATTCTTCAAAGATTGCCTTTTAATAATACCCCTCTCCAGCAACCTTGACATAGATTCTGACTGCTTTTTGAGTAGCTATTCACCAAGGCTGAAACACAATTTTAAAACCTAATGTTTCCAGTGAGGTGTGGGAGAACGTCGGTCTAGCAGCACCTACTACTCAGGTCTGGTTACTTAGGCCAGTCTCTAATAAAAGGAGCTCTGTATCTTGAGGTTCTGGCTGCTTCTAGGAGTAGTCAGGAAACGAATAGGCTGACCCAGAAATGTCCTATAGTGCCAGAAGGCGAGTAAAAACAGTAAAACCTTCCCATAGTCCCACTACAGTGTGGGAAATGTTAATACAGGAACAGGTTCAAAGAACAGCTTTCGGCCAGTGTGAAACAAACAAAAAAAAGTGGCACTGGATTACTTCCTGAGTTCCTAAACCAAAATAAACCAAAATGCGTGATTATAAAAAACACACCCAAAACAAAACAAAACAACAAAACCCACACAAGAATATGTAAAACTCCCGTGCAAAATAACAGAAAAAAAATTTTTGACAGAGATTAATGTAGCTCAGGCTGACCCCAAACTCAACATATAGCTGAGGATGACCTAAAACTCATGATTCTCCTGCCTCTGCCTCCAGAGTGCTGGGCTTACAGGAATGTGCTGGGAATCAAACCCAGGACCTGGTGCATACTAGGCAAGTGTTCCACCATCCTAGCTACATCCCAGCCCTAAATACTTTATAAAAGTGCTTTGCTCTTAAAAGGTAGCTGGGATTGCCAGCGTGCACCACAACGCCCGGCTTCACCCTCAAGACTATTAAGATTATCAAAACAAGTAAAGTCGAAGGAGCTGACCCAGCCAAGAGGCACCCAAAGAGACCTGGACTAAATGCAATATGGTGTCGTAGGTGCAATCCTAGTACAGAAAAAGTCAGCATCAAATGTGATTAGACCTGAAGTGTGGAGTCATTAATGGCAGTGCACCGTCCCTGGCTCATCTGCTATGAAAAGCATTCTGCATAAAAACTAAGAGACAGCAGGGAGAGTAGGGGTACATGAGGAAATCTGTTTTAACACATAATACATTTATAAGCCTAAAACTATGCTAAAATAAGATTGTATTTTAAGAGACAGACAGGATAAAAGTGAAGAGAAATAAAATATCAGTGCCTTGGACTTGTCCCAATAGCTAACCTGCAGCTTTCAAGAAATGTTTCATCTGTGTTCATACCCATCTAAGTCATAAGCAGTCCATCATTTTTTTTTTTTTAGTATAAAAGGGAGGAAAATATAAAGTATATGCTTACCCCACTGTTGAATTAGGTGGTTTGGGTAACCTAGAATAGAAATAGGAAAAAAGTTTAAGTGGGGCTTTTAAGGGCCTGAATTCCTATTAGGAACTTAAGAATATTAAGCTATATTCTGTGTTTAAACTATTTTGACATGTAGGCATATTTTTACTGCCTTACACAATGATAAGACACAGGCATGGTATTTTCATATCTTAATTGCCCTACATATCGATTTTCCCACTGATTTCAACTTAGTCCTGGTTACCAAACCTTTTGCATTTTTTTATTTGCAGGGAAGGTTCAGGGGCTGCAAGTTCCTGTTCTTACTTCCTCGGTCATAATCAGGCAGTAGCCAGAGGACCCTGAGAGCCTGGCATCATGTGTGATGCAGTTATGTGTCCTAGAGTGGCCTGTGTGGCCTGGCTGGGAGGATATATAAATATCGGGTGTGCTGTGTCCCTTTGCCCGTGACTGCTGCTCTCTCAGGACAGTGGACATTGCAGTCACCAGAGGGTAGAGTGCAAAATCAGCCAAGTTCCCAGAGGCAGGGATTTTCGGAATCAGTCTGTTTTGCTGTGCTGCACTTACTGACTACTCTGAACCCACAGGCCAGGAGTTAATACTGTGGTCCTGGAAACAAGCCCCCGCAGAGGGAAAGTTATCCGCTGAGTGGCGACCTCAGCAATTGTTTTCAGCTTATGTCATAAGCCTCTGACAGATGTTAGGTGTAGAAAATAATCAGAATGTTATCATTTCACAACCAAATAAATCAGAAGATTTTACTACACTGCTAATTGTTTTAGATATCCTTCATGTTGGATATATTCACAAGAAAGCAGCAAGCCTTATAGCTGTATTATTCTATAGTGCATTATAAATGCACAGTTCACATGAGCCATAACACTTTTTATCTTTATTTGTATTCTGTGGGTGTGAGCTGAAAAAAGAAATCATTTCCTGTCTTCCAGCTATGTTACTGAGGCAGAAATATGGGAGTGCGGGAAGTGACGAATATGTGAATCCAAAGGATTTAGTGTTGCTAGGATGGCTACTATATATTTATATATAAATAAAATATGAGTTGGCATCTGAAATTGTTCTCATGTGATAATGTTTGCTATGACAGTTCATGACTAAGATGGACTTGAATCAAAATGAAAAAAATTAGATGAACTATTTCTTTAAAAAATTAAAAATTTAAAAAGATACAAAGTAACAGATGTTCAGACATCTGTCCATTAATTCTGCCATGTTTGAATTGAGTTAATGAAACCCAAATGTGTACAACTTAGACAAACAAATTTTGGCTCCCTCTAGTGGCTGAGTCTTATATTGCATTAGCTTCTTAGCCCAAATCTTAAGGGTTCAGTGTTACTTCAGTGCTTCTGTAATTGCTGTATGTTCATTGTACATAGAAACTCGGTTCAATATGGAGATGGCATCTATTTTTATTTGAAAATAAACCCATGCCTTTTCAGTATACATAAGAAGTCACTTCAAAACAGCAATTTAATATGATGGGATATAGTACCTTAAATTGAAGGTAAGGTAACAACACCCACAAAGAGAGAGTAAGAGTAGGTAATCATAATAAGCTCTGTCCTCATAAATTCCAATTCAAATTTTGTTGAGGAGCCTTGGCGTTTTCAGTGACTCTTTGGGAACATCTTACTAGCTGAGAGGGGAGGCAGAGATGTGGTCCAATAGGCGCTTTGGTCCTTAGTTTGCACGGGCTTGTTCAAAGACTACAGAATCTGTCTGGTCCATTTGTTTCCATTTGTTTATAGTTCATTTCTTGTCTTAGGGATCTTTACTATGAAGGAAAGTTTTGTTTCTATAAAAGGGCTTTTAAATTTCTTACATAATTCATTTCCACTTGAAATGCTCACAGTGTTATCTGTGATCTCACACATAACAGCCCCTGCCAACAACTTACAAAGAATCATTTCCATAGACATCACTTTTCTTGTTTTGTGTCAAATAGTAGAACTGTTCAATAGGAAGATTTCTGAAAAGATAACAGATTAAATTAAATGTATTTTTACAAAATTACAGCACATCAATTAGATAGTAAGGACAAACAGGAATACAGTCATGAATATATAGAATTTCTATACAGAATATATAAAAGGTAACACTTTAAATTAGTTAAGAAGTTTTCAGTAAACAGGATGGGAAGACTTAACTATCTCAACTTAGCACTGCAAAAGAGGTAATTTCAGTTATAGTAGAACCTAAAGAGCATACAAATGGTGGCACACACCTGTAAGTTCACAAGCAGAAGGCAGAGATAGGACTTGCAAGTTCAGCTTAGGTCACATAAACAGACCTAGCTGTTAAAACTGAAAATTAGAAAGGGGCCTGAGATATGGTTCAATGGTTAAGAGTGTTACTGTTGCTGTGGTAGCTGGGAGTTCAGGCCCCAGCAGCCGCAGGGGGCTCACAGCACTTTGTTCTCTGTGGGCAACTGCATTCATATGTGCATCCCTAAAAACAGACAGGTATCATGCATAATTTTAAAAAGCAAACACCCTCTCCCTAAATACCCAACAATGGGGAAAATCTATTCAAATAAGTATTTTTCCACCGATAGATTTTTTTTTTCTGTTTTGGGGGTTGTATGTGCATGTTCATGTATGTTTGAGACAGGGCCTCTTGTTCACTTTACAGCCTAATCTCAGCCCCTTCCCTCCTCTCCTGACAGTTCTACCTTTATGCCCCCCTTCTGCACATTCCCCTCTTTCCTCCTTCTCAAAGAAGGAGAGGCTCCCAAAGGGTACTAACCCACTCTGCATCTCGAGTCACAGCAGGACCAGTATCCTCTCCCACTGAGGCCTGACAAAGCAGCTCAACTAGAGGAAAGGGATCCAGGGGCAACAGAGTCAGAGACCACCCCTATTCCCATTGTTAGGCTTCTGTCTGCAAGCATAGCAAAGTATCATTAATAGTGACAGGGTTGGCTCTTTCCCATGGGGTAGGTGTCTGGTTTTTATTTTATTTTATTTTATTTCTTGTTTGGTTCTTATCTGGTGATAAATTTTCCGTTTTGGACATTAGAAATTATTCATGCAGTTATATTAACTTTTAAGTACAACCACCATTACCATTAAAGACCACCAAGAAAAAGTTCTTCAATCGTTTAGTTCACATAATACTAGAGATCTATTTAATATATTTTTATCATCTTACAGTAGCTTAGTGAAGAATCTATTTACTTTTAAAAATAAATTAACAATTTTGCTACTTGACTAATAAGTTTATAAGTAAAAGCATTTATGAGAGTGAAAGCAAGGCCATGCATTTTGATTGTTGATTTTATTCTTTCAGTGTATGGATGAATTGGGGGATGACTGACTCAACTTAGAATTTCTGAAGTTTTCACACATGGTTAGGTGAGTATTATTCAAGATGCCTTTAGAGAGCTTTACTTAGATGTAGCCATGTCAGGAAGAGTTAGAGGAGCAATGGCTTCTCCCATGGCATGACAGACCTGCTCTGTAGCTAATCTTCCCTTAGCCTTACTCTTTCTGTTTCCTCACTTCAAATGCTCTCACCAAGGAGCAGGCACCTGTGCTCCTCGTCAGTGGAGCTAGTGAAGAAAGGAGGAGCCCACCCTGTCCTAGTTTGTGCCTGTTGCTGTCATAAACACTGACCGCAACCAGTGTGGAGAAGAAGGTTTGTTACATCTTACAGGGTATGGTCCATGGTTAAGGGAAGTCGGGGTGGAACTCAACTCAAGAAGCTAGAGGAAGACAAAGCAGAGACCACAGAAGAGGGGATACTGCTAGCTGCCTTGCTCCCTGGGGCTCAGCCTCAGGAAAACCTACCTAGAGTGACACTGCCCAGTGGGCTGGGCCCCCACACCAGTCATCAGTCAAGGAAATTCTCACATAGGAGCTCACAGCAAGTTGGATAGAAACAATTCCTTACGTGAAGTTCCCTTCTCTTAGCTGATTCTAGTCTTTATCAAATTGACCAAAAACAAACGAGCATACATCCCCACAAGGAGTGGGTGTGTGGTGTGGAAACAGAGAACCCAACTGAAATGCCCTTTCCACCCAGGAAAAGTGACGAGTGTTTCAAGAGCAATATTTTTATAAATTAATTGAGGCTTGACCTATCAGAAAGCTGGAAAATATTTTGTATAAAAGGCTCTTTTTAGAGAGAAAGAAAAATATTGTTAAGAAAAGACAGTCTTTACAGTTGTTTGCCAAGCTATTTGCAGTATGCTAGAAGACTGTCTGAAAGATGTTTTCAAGAGAAAAACATGCTAAAATGACAACTTTGACATAAAAGAGCACAAGAAAAACAGATACACCAACTTAGACTCAGGGTGAGGGAAGAATGACATTTCTAAGGTGAACAGTACTCCCTCCCCAGGTTCTTAGGGCTGCGCAGTCAGAACAATGAACCTCTTCATTTCAAACTTGATTTCTCTGAATATTCAAAACCAGTCTTTTTTTTTTTTTTTTTGGCTTTGCTTCAACACACCGGAGTTCTGTGTGACTCCTCTGATTCTTTTAGAATATTGTGTGTTTTTTGACATACAAATGTTGGGACCACAGCTGTGCATCTCTCAAAGAATGTAACCCAGCTGCTGAGCCACCTTTTGCTATGTTCAGGTTACAGAATAGATAATGAATAATGGGTCAGTTGATAAGATGAACAGGTGGAAGCCACTTGGGGTCAAATCCCTGGACTACAGATTTGCAGTGTCTGGCCAAGGGAAGTTGCAGCCTACAGTTTACAAAGACTTAACTAACTGTAGCACAGTTGAGTGTTTGCTTGGAGGTGGAGTCTTTAAGGTCAATTGAACAGGTGTTTGAATTTGAAGTCCTTAGTGAGTACTGATGTCTGAATCTTCCCACTTGGTCTCTGCTGGGCCTTGTTCTTATTTGTTGAGGCTTACAGAGGGTCGCTGGCTTCTCATGGCCCTATTATTAATATTTCATTTTCTAGATGTGGCTTATCTTTCCTAATTTATTTCTTTCACATGCTTTAGAATAACGAGAAACTAGATACCTAGACTGTTAGTAAACCAGGCAACTGAGAGTGTTAGATAAGGCAGGAAGACTGTGCCATAAAAGGATTCCGTTCTGGGTAAATAATAATAACCTTTAGTAAATAATGTGGCATTTAATTTAACTTGCTGCTTCTTTTTTTTTTTTTTTTTTTTTTTTTTTTTAAGACCCAGGGCCTGTACATGCTAGGAAAGTTCTTCACCCCTGAACTATACCCTGAATCATTTTTTCTTTAATTTATGTTTTGAGACGGGTCTTTTTTACCAAGTTGCCCAGGCCTTGAGTTTCTGATCCTTTTTCCTCAGCATCTTAGCCAGCTTGGATTACATGCCTGCACGTCCAGGTCTAGGCTCCTTCAGTTTTATGTTTTGAATACTCTTGCTGAAGAAATGGCTTTACAGTTTATTACTTATGAGCAGGCCAGTAGGTTCAGTGGGTAAAGGAGGCTGCTGCTAAGCCTGATCAATTTCTGCAGCCCACATCGGAGAAGCAGGGAACCAACTCCCAACATTTTCCTCTGATCTCTATGTACCCCAGGACACATGTGAAAAAAAAAATCAACCTGAAAATAGTGTCCTGCAGTCCCAAATACTTCAGTAAAGATTTGTGAACAAACTAGAAAACAGAGTCTCCAGCCAAAAACATCAGTATAAATTGGGCCAACTTTTTGCTCAGGCAAAAAAAAATTTAACTTAAAAAACATTTTTAACCTTTGATCTCATTTAGTTTGATTTTAATTTTATGTATATGAATATATGTGCTTGTATTAATGTCTGGGCATCACATGTGTATAGTACCTGTGCAGTCCAGAAGGGGGGTCAGATCTCCCAGAATAGAGTTACAGATGTGTTAGCTGCCATGTGGGTGTAGGGAACCAAACTCAGGTTTTCTGGAAGAGCAGCCAGTGCGCTTAACTGCCAAGCCACCTCTCAGACCTCATTTAGTTTTAGGTAAGTGAGGAATTAATCAAAATTTCTAAATCAATACTTTACTATCTCAAATGACAGCAACATAAAAAAAAAAAAACCCTACAGGCTTACCACAGACCTACCTCACAATTGGGAAGCAAAGAATTAGTTTCTCTCTTTCTCTTTGTGTCTTTTCATTAACAGTGGAAGAACTCCAGAAGCAGACGTGTTAACATAGCACTAACAGTAAATGAGACATGGTTAATGAAGACCTTGTGTGAAGTGACAGTTGGGAAGCTCACTTACTTTGGCCAGGTCTCCCCACCAAATCCATAGTGCTGATGTCCTTTGCTCATGACGAGGGGAGGCTCACACTTTGGCCTGTGTTCTTCAGGAAGGGCAACTGGGACAATGCCACCATATTCTCTTTCGGCACCCCATGGAAGCCTGCATTGTGGCAGTGACTCCCTCATGTCCTGATAACTGTAAGAAAACATAGGTCCTGCTTTCAGAATATAGCATTCTCAGATTATGATACTCTCTGGTTATTGAGATAGCATGTGCCCGCTGAAAGGACTAGGTTAGTCCTCCCCACACCTGTTTTATTTATTTTGTAAAAATAGCTTTATTGAGATGTAACTCACATGCCATAGAATTCATCAATTTTAGTTGACTTGTTTACAGCAGCTTAATTATAATGACTATTTAAATATACTGTCTTTCACACTATTTTCCTGACCTCAAAAAGAAGTGCATGTTCTTTTGCTATTGCTCTGTTAAGGAACCCACCTTTACTTCACCTCGAGCACCTACCTTCTTTGTAGACCTTCATATAAATGGAGCCTTATACTATGTGGTCTTTGTGTTGGCTTCTATCATTTGACATAATGCTTTTAAGGTTGGTATATTATGTGATATGAACCAGGACTTCATTCCTCCTAATGGCTGCATAATATTCTATCAATGGGTACTCCATTTTGCCTAACCATTCATCAGTTGATAGATATTTGGCTTTTAAGATTATTGCTTTGCTAAAGTGGTATTTTTGAGTACTTGATTTAATTTTCTAAGGAGCACTACCAAAAAAATGAATAATATGGCTGGATCATATGTTAATTTGTGTTTAGTTTTTTGGGGAACTGCTGGGCTATTCTATAGCAGATGCTTTATTTTACATTCCTAAAAGCATGGTGTAAAGGTTCAAATATTCTGTATTCACTATAGCACTTGTTATTTATGTTTGAAAAAGAATTATAACCATTTTCACAGAAGTGAAGGAGTATATCACTGTAATTTTGTTTTGCATTTTCTTAATGACAACAGTACTTTTTGTTACTACTTCTTTGGATAACATCTGTTTGATTTTTTGTTTTTTAAATTTGTTTTATTTCTTAGTTACAAGTTCTTTGTATGTTCCAGATACCAGTCTTTTATTATGCAATATGCCCTCCTGTATACCTTCTTTTCACTCTCTTGAGAATATCTTTTGAAATATCAAACTTTCTAATTTTGATGCTCAATTTATTTTTACTTTGGTTGCATGGATTAGGAAGTCATATAAATTCCTGTTTTTCCCTCTATGAGTTTTAGTTTTAGTTCTTGCTTTTATATCTGTCTCTGAATCATGATTAAGTTTTATGTATGGTATAAGGTAAGGGTCAAACTTGCTCCTTTGTGTTTGGATCTTCCTGGCATCATCTGTTGAAGAGGCTTGGGGTGTTGTGAAGGAATAGTATACTATTGTCAGGTGTTACTTGCTTCCCAACAGTTCAGTGAGGTTCCCTATGTGCTATGCAATGATGGGACCTCTGGGGGAAACTTAGGAATAATTGGGGAACTAGGAATTGAGCTTTATATGTGGGTCAGTGTGTTGCTGAACAGAAACAGCCTCGTCTCAAGTCAGAAGCTTAAAAGTGCTACCCCATTCTAACTTGGATATTTGAATAAGTTTGGGAGATTTGTAAAGACTTGAGTAGAACTTAGTTGATTTTATTTTTATTTTTATTTTTTTGCCATAAAAATGGTTTTGTATCTCTATTTTCAGGGCTGGTATAGAGGTCAGGAATTTGTGGGCACAGTGGAAGAGGGCCATGGTGAGAAGTAAAGCATGAGAGAAAAGCAGAAGCGTCTTCTGTAGGCTTCATGTGGACTATGCTCTGAGGGAATGTGGGAGGCAGTCAGAGACATGGAAGTGGAGCTCAGAGGCAAGAGCTGCTGGTACTTTTGTTTCTCTGTCAGGGCAGTACATGGCTTATAGCCCTCCCCCTCCCCCATAGTAACTGGTAATTATAATGGAGAATTAACACTCAGGACTGCCTTACAAATGGAACTAAACATCACATGAAATTGCTAGATAAACAAGCACTAAGCTGTGGCTCATGGACCTACTAACTGTTTTGTAAATAGTATTTTACTGCAATACTGCCTTTCATTTATGTATGACTAGTCTGTGGCTGCCTTCACCCTTTAACAGCAAACCTGAGTATCTATGATGAAACTGTGAAGCACAAAATACTTTGTCTGGCTTGTTCTAGAGAACATGTCCTAACCAGTTTAGGAAAGCTTGGTGACTGTTACTTTGGGGTCCTGGCAAACAGCATTCAGACCTTTCACTCTCCCCAGCTCTGACTATGACCAATACACATGGTTTAGGGGAAGTGACAAGGGAAAATATTAAATACTTGTGATTAATGACAAGCTAAGCTTTAATTTTTAAGTTTGTAAAGTTAACATTTAAATTACAAATGAGTCAATTTCTCAATATCTGACCCCAGTAAATTACACTGTCCCAGAAAATGAGCCAGAAGAAAATGTTAATCAGTCATACATATTGGTACCCAGTGAAACTGGAAAGTTGAAAATTTTTTTAAAAAAACCTTTAAAATTAGAGGTAATGCTTAAATAACCTCTGATCCTCCACTTGCCCTACTCCTGCAGTCTTTCTCCTCTCTGTTCTGGGTGGCAGGAAACTCATGGCAATTTAACTGCCTTAGTCTGCTGAGTGCTGGGATTAACAGGTGTGAACCACAACACCAGCACTTTCTTTAGATACTCATCTATTCAACCATCATCTCTTAGCCTAATACTCAAAACACTGTATGGAAGGAAATGTTTAAAATATAAGTTGAGGTTTTAGGATGAAATAATTATTTCAAATAAAACACTCCTTCTTAACAAAGAGAATAATCATGAAATTGTTGGTGCTTTACTCTGTAGCCACAGAAAATTGTTTACTTTGTTTTTGGGAAGGTTATGGGTGAACCTAAAGATATTAAAGTTACTGTGTAGAATCTGTTTTACTGTGTAGAATAAAGTTGAGTAAGAATCAATCCCAAATGTAGAGGGCTCAATTTGGCTAGTAACTATGGGAAGGCATGGTTACAGGAGAGCTCATAATAAACTTATTATTTTAGCTGGTAGAGAACTAATAGCAGTGTGTGTGTGTGTGTATGTATGTATGCATGTGTTTATGTTTCAAGAATCAGAAATCAGTGAAGTTCACCCAGAGGCAAAATGGGAGACTATACTGAAATCCTAAGCAATTTTCAGGACATTTCTTTAATTGGTATATTCCTTTGCCTGGTGAGTTAGAGAACTTGCTACAGACAAGAAGTCAGCTGAATGGGAAGATGCGGGGAGGGCTAGTGATCCTCCATGCTGGCCTAGCCACAGTTAAATCTGTCTGTCTGTCTATCTATCTATCCATCCATCCATCCATCCAGTTTGGCGTGTGTGTATGCTGGAAATTGAGTCTCGCGCCATGTGCATGTTAGGAGGAGCTCTCCACCAAAATATTTCTAGTTAAGTTGAAAGTCTGAACTTTGAACAAAAAATACACAAAAGAATATGATGCTTTAATTTACTTAACAATTTCAAAGGAGAACAAATAAGGTTATTATAAAAGAGTGCTACGATAATTGTTCTAAAACATACAAGTGAATGAAGTACTTGAAATGAAAACATAAACATTAGCTTGTGCTTTGATCATTGGGTAAAGAGCCTATTTCTGGCTCTTTTACTGTTTACAGTGCTTTCTGCTAACCCAGTCTTCCTTGGGGTCTTGTACTCTTGTCTCTGACTTAGTGTGCCAGAATAATAGGTTAAACCTGGAAATGTGTATTTTCACAAAGCTTCTCAAGTGATTTTTTTGGTAGCCCAGCCTGGCCTTGAACTAATGAAAATAGTTCTTAGTTCAATAGTTTTGTCTTAGCCTTCCAAGTGCTTGATTTACAGGGAAAAGCTACTATGATTATCCATAGGTGATTTAATATATCTGTCTGATTGCCTTGCCCAGTATATAAAGAACAAAGTTGGCTGGTGTAAGGAATTGCCAAATTAACTCAAAGTCTGTCACATTTTGCAAGGGTGTGCCTGTCTCTATGCTTGGAAACGGAGCTTCTGAAAGCTAACATGTACCGGGACCTTGATTCTTCTCTACCATCAGGAAGAGTGATTCCCTGGAATGCGGGGGCTCTTTTCTTTTTGTTGTTTTGATTTGCTTTGGTGGGTACCCTGCAGTTTGGGTTGAGAGCCATTGATTCAGAACTTGTGAGATGCTGCTGTTATCCTGAGGACACTTTCCAGAGCATCCAGCTGCCTCATAGGTTAAGGAGTTAAGAGGAAGGGCCGTAAGAGCATAGGATCACCCTGGCAATCTGTCCTGAGACAGGGATAGGAAAGAGCTCGCAAAGGGGAAAGCAGGGTTTAGTCATGAGGAGCTGGGGTTGTTTGCAGGCCGTGCTTTAAATGGCCTCTCTTAGTTTATGACTAGTTGGCCATATGGGTACTTAATTTTCTCAGATGGGTTTGCTTTTTAAAAAGCACCTATCATGTCAAAAATCTATTTACAAACATCTATTTGTTATAAATAAGAGTATTTTTGCCTGCATGTGTGTGCACCACATGTGTGCCTGGTACTCGCAGAGTTTGGAAGAGGGCATCAGATACAACTGGAGTTACAGATGGCTGGGAGCTAGCACCTCAACCTGGGGTCTGTAAGAGCAGTAAATGCTCTTAATCTTGAGCCATCTCTCCAGGCCCCCAATTTTTTTTTTTTTTTTTTTTTTGCAAAGAGCATGTTTATAAATAGAAATAGATCCATGAAGTCTGATCATGAGCAATAGCTGAAATGTAAGAGCAGCGTCTTGGATAGCCAGGTGTTGGGTCTGACACCCTCAGGGAGACTGAGGAAACTTTAAACCTTGAAGAGCTCCAGGCCTAGGGATAATGACATATTACTTCACATGTTTCAGACTGAAGAACCAGAACCAGCAGGACGAAGTCACAAGGAAGAAAACTGTTCTTAGAAAAACTCAAAGAAAATGGTCCAACAACCAGGGGAATGTGGAATGGACTGCCCATGTGGGAGCATTGTACCTCTGTGGAAGGATATTTTGTTGTGACTGTTTATTGTTTTATGACTATGTGTATATGCCTGAGTGTGTGTATGGTGCCCCGTGTGTGTGCAGGCGCCTCAGAGGCCAGAAGAGGGCATTGGATCTTCAGGAACTGGAGTTACTCGTGGTTGCAAGCTGTCTGATGTAAGAGATGAGAGTCAAGCGAGGTCTTGAGAGCCAAACTTAGGTCCTTTGGAAGAGCAGCAGTGCTCTCAACTGCTGAACTTCCAGCCCCACTTTGGAAGTGTTTAAATTGAGTTAAGGCAGCATCCTGTCTAATTCCCTAAAAATGAAGGAAAAGGTTTGTGTGTGAGGCCAGAAGTTGGCATTAACTGCCTTCCTTAATCACTCTCCACTTTAAGACAGGGTCATTCACCAAACCTGATGCTTCCTGATTTTACTAGACTAGCTAGTTACTGAGCACCAGGGCCCCAGGAATAATCCTGTGTCTGCCTTCCCAGTACTGGGGTAACAGGTTCTCACTGGGGATCAAACATCTTCATCTTGTGTGGCCAGCACTTCAGCAGCTGAACTGCCTACCTGGCAGACGCCATGCAGGAGGGGCTGCCATGGGCAAGCAAGCTTCCTGGGGACGGCCCACTGTCTGGCTCAGCTGCCATGGCTGTACTTTGGGGAGGCTCAGCCCAGGGGCTTTGTCTCCACATTGCTTCTTGCTGCTGCTGTGCCTTCTCATGTTTGTCATTGCTATATTCCTCATATATCTAGCATGGTATGGTTGGGTGTGAGGAGACCCTCACTGTCTAGACTGGTGTGTTTTTTTTTTTTTTTTTTTTTTCCTGGGTAACAGACCACTCCTTTGGTCTGTTTTCCTGCAGATCAATATGAGGGTAAAGTTTCATAAAAAAATGTTTAGATGAATTAATGATTTTATAGAATTCCTGCTTTGATTTACATAGTTTCAGAAAGTTAGATTAAGCTGTTTTTGTCAGTGGCTCTGATGTAGACAATCTCGAGGAACGATTTCAAGTTCAGAAAGGCACACTCATCATAGTTGAGCGGGGGATTTTTGAGGTCAGGGAACAAGAAGAATGGCCCACATTAGCACTGGCTGGTGTGACTCTCGCCAAAGCTGGGCTGGTGCTGATTAATTTCTTGTACCCATTTTGCCCTCAGCTTCCTGTTAAGATATAATAGAAATTGTTCATGAGTAGATGTGCACCGTGAGGATTTAAAGTAGAAATGGCCGGTTGTTTTTATATGAAAGTTTAGATTTGTGATTCTTTTAAGATTTTATAGGATTTCTTTTTAAGATAATTGATTCTTTGTAACTTCAGATTGCAGCCTGCCAGTAAAGAGAAACTGGCTGAAAAAATTACCTTGTTTGCTTACACTTTGTTAATCTGTAACAGGTTGCTCTGTTATGAATGTATGTGGGCTCTTGGGAATAATTTGTTTCTCATATTTGTGTTTCACCCATAATACATAAAACATTTGATCATGTGAAGATATTAGGGAACATGTTTTTCTTACACATACTCATTGTAATTGTTCACTTAAAGAAAAAGGAATGTAACGACATTGTGAATTTTCTTGTGCTTGAAAGATTTTTCTGAGATATATAAGCTGTGGGAGAAAAAATAAAGTTGGAGTTTTGTTCCATTTACAAAATGTATATATGTGTATATATGGTTGGTGCTCACTTGAGTTTGCTCCGTCCACCCAATATGTGTGTGTGTGTATGTGTACATGTATGTAAAATGGTTGGAGCTCGTACTTTGGAGTTTGCTCCATCGACCCAGTGTGTGAGTGTGTGTGTGTGTGTGTGTGTGTGTGTGCATGTATGTATATGTGTGAAGTTGTTAAAGCTTGTTAGAACTTGCTCATTTTGGAGCTTGTCCTGCTTCATCCATCTAGTGTGTGTGGTCTTTTTCTCCTCCTTTTCCTTTATTTAGTACCTGGCTACAGCCAGCAACCCCTGTTGGAAACCATCAGTTCTGGCTTGGAGAGTCAAGCTTTTTACCCTCAAAGAAAAAGTCTACTGGTGATCATATGCCAGTTACAAGGAGTACTGGATACTCCCCCCCCAAGGAGCACCCCCTCCTTGGACCCCCCCTTTGCCCTGCCTCATTTTATCCCTGTGATGTCAAAGCTGGCTGAGACAGAGAGATTGGCAAAGCATTTGTCTATATCCCATATATCATAGGTGAGAGGAGGATAACGTCTCGCTGGCATGGCCGGCATGGTGAGCCAAAGAACTACAACACACACAGTGCAGGGCTTCCACAGCAACCAATTCCAGGAGTATTTCTGGACTGAAGGTGCTGGTGGATACGCTGTTAATGGATACCACAATACTCTATTGAAACAGATTACTCTCCAAGTGAAGGAAGGGGACCGTTTTAGGGTTCTAGAATAGAGATGTAGCTTGGTGTAGTGTCTCCTTGCGGGGCCTGGGTTCAGAATCCACTTCTAGAATGCAGTGGAAGGAGTCAATGTCTGCCTCGGTATAGTGTACAGCAATATACTTTTTCAGTTTGAACAGATTAACCATGTAGTTTAGTCATGTTTTGCCTTCTCATTCACGTGATATATGGGAGAGCTAAAGCGTGTGTGTGTGTGTGTGTGCGCGCGCGTATGTGTGATAGAAAAGGTCAATGTTGTAATGAAGGCTTTCTTTTGCATTTTTCTGATTTTTTTTTTTTTTACCTGTCTTCTGAAGCAGTTGGACGAATAGTCGTTTCGAGTGGAGTGTGCAGCTCGTTAGAATAAAAGGTATCTGACAGGAGGTCAGCTCCTTCAAGCTCCCTACAACAGTAGGGCCTGCCATGAATTACCTCCATGCTTCTTGCCTTAAAAGGTAGTCTGGGGAGTAAATAGATAAATAAAAGATGAGCATTTGGTCTGGGAAACTGTCCTGGTTAGTATTATAGTGTCTCTGCCTTAGGTCGGACAGGAAACATTTTCTGCTGCCAAAGTTCTTCAACTCATCGATGCACAAAAATCATAGGCTTATTTTCTGACTTCTTGTGAGGGTCTGTGGACCCTGTCAGCTGTAATAAACAGTAACGTGAACTTCTATGGACATAACTTCAGCTGAAGCAAACCTGCAAAGTGGGAGATGAGCACATGGCGAAGCAGTAATGAGTCCCCTAACTACAGTTCACGGCTTGCCTCAATTTTAACACTATTCGAGAACAGTCAGGTGGCCTTCCTAAGCAGGGAGACTCGCTGTTAAGAGGTGCAGAGCCTTTCCACTCGGGAACAGGACCGGTTCACAGTTAAACTGGGTGGTGGTGTAGCACCTCCGGCCCCGTTGGGGACCCGGTTCCCCACCGGCTGAGGGCCAGGCCGCCCCTGCGGAGGACCGGGGACCACAGGCTCAGCGCAGCCAGGGAGTCGCACGCACCTGGCACTCTGCCCTGGGAGCCTTGCCCGACCGACTGCGCCTCCCCTTCTTGTCGAGGGAGCTGGTGGGTCTCCGCGGGGCGTGGAATTTCGTGGTCTTCCGCACCTGCGGGGCCCCGGGAGCGTGCGGGCAGGTGCGGGGGAAGAAGGCCAAAGAGTCTGGGTCGGACCGGGGGCGGGGTAGAGGCTGCCTGTGACGGCGACGGTGACCGCGCACTAGGTAACACATCCTGAGGGTGGGGCGCCCGCGCGGCGGCGGGAGCGCAGAGGAACAGCGGGTAGCCCCCTCGGGTTGTTTAGTAGCCCCGCGGAGGATCCCGGGCCAGGAGACTTGGGAGAGGGGCCGGAAGTGAAGCGAGTGTGTTTGCGGCTAGAAGGAAGGTGAGAAAGCGGGTTTTTCTGCCCTCGACCGCACCGCAGACCCCAGGCTCTCCGAGCCTTCAAACCCTGGCCCCGCCCCCAGCCTCGGGCCCCGCCCAGAGCCGTGGGCCCCGCCCTCGGCCTCTTTCAGCTATGGACCGGACACCACCCCAACTCATTATTCGGGTTTTAGCCCCGCCCCCACGCCTGTCTTTCCACCGCCCCGGGCCTACCCTCTCCCCGCCATAGGCTGACCCAGCGCGCCCTCTAGTGGCGCCGCCTTGGAAATTCTTTCCTCCCTGACTGGTCTGTAGTTTCCCTAGTGCGGAGCGTGCAAACCTTCTCAAGGTCTGAGAGGAGCTAAAGCTCTCGTCTGGGAAGAAGGGCAAGGTGATCTCGGTGCAAGAAAACTGATTAAGAGTCTGTTTGCACAGTATGAGGTGCACTCTAGGTTCCTAACAGTAACAGAAAAGCTCGAGGCCCTGGGTACCCCTTCTCCTGCCTGGCGGCTCACCCACTTTATCTCTCGGCTCCGAAGAGTTGAAAGAGCTACTGGCAGCCTGCTGAGCACTAGATCAGAGAAGGGGACAGACTCAAGCCCTAATTATGGATAAAGCTCGTTGTCCTAAACCAAGAGGATGAGGAATTTGGGAACAGGGCGAGTCCTGGCCTATGGGAAGAGAGGATGAATTTCTCGATTTCAGAGGAATTTAAAAACCATTGTCTTGCTTCAAATCAGCTTTTGGCTGATTTGGCTTTTCTCAATGCTGAGGTTGCTTTTTGCAGGCTAGAACATTAAAAACTTTTTTAATAGTCTTTTGAATTTGTTTCCAACACTGTTAGGAAAAAGTGGTGGGGGTACCCTGGCAGGTTGGGGCCAAGGTTGTGCCGCTAAGGTATCACGCTGCACAACAGATTTAACACAAGATGGGGAGAAGGGAGAGTGAAAGGTATTCTGGGAGTGGGGACATGAGGGAGAGACAGAGGGGCAGAGATGAGGAAATAGAACAGATCTGGAGTGCCAGGACCTTTCTAAGGAGCACGCATGTCGCATAGTGGAAACGTGCAGCACCTGGCAAGGGGGTGTGGGGGAGTGGGGTGATGACGCACGCTGCTACCACCGAGCTGCTAAAGGAAGGCTGGCGGAGCACCTGATTTACAGCATTTTTTATTTGTTATAAAAGGTGAAGAGCGAGCGTGATGGTGAGGCAGGAATGAGGACGCTGTGCTCTTTAAACAGCTTCCTGCTGTCTGGGGGGCGACAACATCTTTGGGGACCCAAGAAAGCTGGGGTGCTGCTCAAGTCCTGGGAGAGCTGGCTCTTTCACTCGCTGTCCAGGTCTGTCCACCTACGGCCGGGTAAGTACAGGCCTAGTCAAAGCAGGCTGCGAGGCTGACCACCCAGCGCCAGCCAATTTGAAGCTGTCCAGGATACAGATTGAGGGATCACCTGGACCTGGAAGGAGGCAGAAGATAAAGTTAAGGGGTTTAGGGGGAATTTTTTTTTCTTAGGTATGCATTTGAAACTTTTAGGCCCATGGTCCTGGTAATTGAGGGGAGAGCCCCAGGAGCAGAAAAGGGAGAGATCCCACCCTCAGGAATAAGCAGAATGGGTAGACGGGGAAACAGGCTGTTGATATGGACACTTATCTGGAGTCCATTTGAACCATGAGCTAGATTCAAGACTATTCCATAAAGCTTACAAAAAAAATTAAGTTTACAGAAAGAGAAGTATAACACATTAGCATCACCATTGTTTGTAATCTGTACTGAAACGCACACTGTAGAAAAGGCAATAGACTCACACCTTTGTGTCACAGTAGAAACATAGGAAAAGATTTTGGGTTAAAAGCCTGAACACTGGGCACATCTTAGGGACATATTGAAGCCATACTCACTCACACTGCCCTTTGCCAGGTGATTCCAACCAAGTACAAGCCTGGCCCTGCACCTAGAACACCCTCCTCCCAGCTCCCAGCTAAGTAGTACTCCTTGCTTCCTAGTGGCAGCCCACCTTAGAGCAGAAGGCAGGAAAATGGCTAACTTTTCAGAGGGGGCCTGGGAAAGCCTGAGCCACTGGTGCCCAGGAGAGTGCAGGGAGCAAGAGTAGTTGAGTCCTGATAGCTTTGATCCAAGACGACAACTAAGGAGGCTTCTGTAGCAGCCAGAGGGAAGGCTGGCTCAAGGGAAGAAAGCCATTGCATCACTGAGGAGCAAAGCCAAGTGATGGGGACAGGAGACCTGCAAGTCCACCATGCTGGCTCCACCCAACCTAGACCTCTTGGCCATCCACCACAAGAACATTCGGGAAGGCTCTCCAGCTAGACAGGACAATGCCAATGAGAGCCGAGGCCGGGTCCTTTACAAGCCCTCAGAAAAGGAGAGCCCTTCCCAAAATCAGGTGATGTCTGCAGGAGACCATGGACATGATGCTGCTGCTGACCCTGCTGTCCCGTGTTAGAGCCTTCATCCTGGAGGAGAAGTCTGAGAAGGACTTGGCAGCCATGGGCCTTGAGGAGAGGCTGCAAGGGCAGGCACTGGAGTGGCAGCAACCAGCTCCTGCTCTGGCAGAAACATCAGGAGCTGGCCACCATCCTCCAGGCCCAGGTGGAGGTACTGGGCCCTTTGTAGGCCACGGCAGACCCCCTTCCCCCACTGACACCCCCAAGTAGCAATACATACACTGGCCACAGGCCTGGATACCACTCAGCATGTGCTTACCTGTGCAGGCCACCCATATACAGGGAAGTGGGCAGGTGCTCCTCGATGATCTGCCACCGGCCCCGAGGACCACGCTGCAGCTCTTGGGTGAGCTGGACATCTACTCCCCAGATGCCAGTCACAGGTGTCTGCTGGAGAAGCTCGAGGGCTTGATCACACAGAAGAACCTGGAGCTCTGCAGGATTATCAGCCAGGTGCCGGAACTTTCCTCTCAAACCAGGAAGTCTGGGAAGAAGCCCAGAGCACCCCTACCTGCAAGCCCTGGTACTTGAGTTCAGATGCCCTCGGGTACACCTCAGTCCCCTCCAAGGACAGCATGAACCACAGTGCAGGCCTGACCCTGAGTGACTCGGGCAGCCTGTCTTGCCATTTTCTGAGCATTTCCCAGTTGCTTTTTTGGGCTATTTACATGCCCTCAGGCCTTGTCCACAGGGACTGAAGGTGGTCAGACGACACAGTATTTTGAAACTTTTGTGCACTTTTTTCCTATGCTTTCCACTTGGGACATCATCAGCACTTCTGGTTTGTGGTCTTGCATTTTGAGGCAGGGTCTCTCTGCAGAGTCCTGGTTGTCATGGAACCAACCAAGTGGCCATCAGGTCCCCACAACCCAGCACTCATTTTTTAAACTCTCTTTTATTTGGGGGTGTTTAGATCTCTACCTCCTTCCTGCCAATCCTCCAAGCCCCAGGTAAAAGAGAGGTTAGTGGGGAGAGGGGGACCAGACCCCTTTACTTATCCCAGCTGTTTAGGGTCAGTGGATGGGGGGGGCTATACCAATCTCTCCTCAACACCAAAAGCATCTAGCAAGTCTCCTTCCGACCACTGTGCCCTAAGTGTCTGTCAGCTCCAAACTGCCACACTGCCCATCTCTGATTTCTCCAAACAGCTACACGCCACATGCAAAGCTCCACCTTCTGTTTCTCAGCTCTCAAATTTATCCTCAGAGCCCTAGAACATGCCCCTCTTCAGGTGTGAAAGGCCATTAACAGCTGGCAAAAGCCACAATCCCCCTAAGGACAGTTAACAGCTGTGGACAAACTATTGCCCAACTAAAATCCCATGCTTGGGATTAAAATAAAACCATATTTATATAACATAACTGAGTTTACAAAGAAACCAAAACTTCCATTACCACCCCCACCCCCCTTTTTTAGCTCTGTGTAACAGCCCCTGTTGTCCTGAAACTCTTTGTAGACCAGGCTGGCCTCAAACTCAGAGATCCACCTGCCTCTGCCAGTGCTGGGATTAAAGGCGTACACCACCACATCCAGCTATACAGGAACACTTTAAGGTGAGCTCTGGAAGGACAGGTAGCTCCTGTGGAGAAGGGCAAAAGCTCACTTGATTTTGA